GATTTTCTCTCTTTTTATCGGCTGGAAATTTCGACAATCGCGCACCCGAAGGGTTCCAGCTCGATTAAGGACGGACGGGTTGCCTGATGGCTGGGTAATATCGAGAAGGGTGAGATATATCGCGTCGGAGAGGGCCTACCGCTGCCTCGATTAGGACGCGAATGACAGCGAGGGCGAGGCACCGATAGGCCGATACTCTCTCTCTCTCTCTCTCTCTTCGTCGAGGAGAGCAACCCCGCGACGTTGGGATCGATCGCGCGTGGCATCATCGGGCTGGATCGACTCTGGCAAAAAATAATGAAAACCTCTTCTCCTCGCTTTGCGATGCAACGCGACTTTAACCCTTTGATCGGCCGGGCCTAACGATTAACGGACAACTTTTATTCGATGGAACGTAATTGTCCTTCGATGTGTCGCCCGATATTGTATATACCGCGATACCTTCTGGATTTCGCGAGTAAATATTTTGCTTCCTCCGGTTAGGTTAGCTTGTGCGTACGTGCGTGCGAGAGAAGGTATTCGCGAGATAAATCGGCGCGATAAGAAAAGGGGATGATTTCTTCGACGAAAACAAGTCGAAAGTATGTATAACACAATTTTGCTCGCAACGCCAACTATTTGTTTCCGCGAAAATTAACTCTGTCAATTTACATATCTCAACAGCGACTATCTCGCGCATGGTTCGTGAGGAAGAAAATATATTTTCTTAAATAACACGATACTTGGAGTAATCTCCAAGTTGCTCGCAAAATATATCAAATTCTTTATATTCTTCGTTTCAATCAAATGTTCTCGTTTATATAGATGCGCACAGAGCGAATTTTTTCTTTCAAAATTTACGTATATATTAATATTTCTCGTTGCGCGATGGTAAATATTAATCGGAGAAACTCGTATAACATATTCTTCCAATACCATATTGCATCACGATGTTTCGTTAGGAGAAGATATTATTCATTTTTCAACTTTTGAAATCAATTTCCTAAAAATAATGGTCTACATATCCGAGTTGTAATATCGATGTGCGTGTAATACCAATATATTAGAAATGTAATCCATTAATCGAATCTCATATTAGTTCTAACATATTCTTCCAATACCATATTGTATCACGATTACCACAATTTCCTGTATGTTTCGTTAGGAGAAGGTATTATTCATTCTTCAACTTTTGAAATCAATTTCCTAAAAATAATGGTCTACATATCCGAGTTACGCGTGTGTAATACCAATGCATTAGATATGTAATCCATTAATCGAACCTCATATTAGTTCATACATACAATACGACAAGTTGCATGCATTTGAATGTATGCGACAAACGTACGGTCGAAAGCCTGTGTAAGGTGAGAGACACTGGGATATACATTCATGAGTCACTCCATTCACGAAATGTGAATTCTCGCTTTGCAAACTTTAGGGGTCAACGGGTCGGGAATGGCTAGCCACTTCTCTCCGACATACAGGTTTCTCTCTCTCTCCCACCGATACATCGAGTCTTATCCGATACATCGTCTATGACTCTTTCCAAGTTACGTGGCAGTCGGTGCTCTTCTACACCAAGTATTAATCCCAATGTTATTCGAAGAAGTTGCGGAACAACAGAGATGTAGAGGTGCAAGTTTCATCTGGGATTTCCTATCGGTGTACACACACACAACGAAAGAGCGACGAGAGAGAGAGCGATATGATTCGTAGAAGGAGAAGGATCGAGGTTTATCGCGAGAGATCTTTCACGGTTGCAAGGACGGCGCAGGGCACGACGGTGGGGATAATCGCCGTTCAGAAGTCGAAGGGGAAGAGAGGAGAGGCAGAGAGAAGTAAGAGTAGCAGGAGGTATCATTCACTTTGCGGGAGTCGCACTCCTCCGCTCCGCTCGTAATAATTTTCTTTTTTATGAATGAACTTAACTGTCTTCTCTCTCTCTCTCGCTCCTTCTCCGGCGTTTATATCTCCATCTCTTCTATTTTATATCTCTTATTTAATCTTTCTTCCTCTCTTTCTTCCTCATTCGTTGCACTGTTTTCGCACAGGAGGCTGTGAGTTTACAGAGTTAAACGTGACGTTTGTGGAAGCTACAGATTACGCGGACGATAAGCGGCAATAATTTAAGTATCTCGTTATCGCACATCTATCTGTATCAGGAATTATTTGTACACGTTTTATTGGTCTTTAATGAGTATACGTCATCGAGATTCGCAATTTCATATTAGGTTTCAAATTATAAATTGTAAAAGGAGATGGGAAAATACACGAATCTTTCCTGACATTTGCTTTGATACTTTAAGCAATCCAAATTATTCGTTCGTTATAATCTATAGTTTCGCCGAAAATTTTTCTTTCAAGTTTTCAAAGTGAGAAAATATTTGTATAAAGTTTAGTTAGAAATACAAAATATAAAAAAAGTTCAGTTTGTACATAAATGAAATCTATCGAAATCACCTGGAATCCAAAAACGAGAAAAAGTAAAGCTGAAAAAATGGGAGGAAAATTTCAATTCGGATTCCTAAATACGGGAAAGCGAGAGACTTTTCCTTATTACCTTCTACCGGCTGTTAACGAGCGAAAATTGGCAAAAAAATTTGACAAACGATGCGAATGTACAGGGAAATAATCGCTTCGGCGATTATTATTAATTTAAATCGCAAACATTGTACGACTAATGACTATAAAGGTCGTTAAACAACATGTATCCGACGGGTTGGTGTCGCTAAACGCGATGACCAAACGGTCGTTAGGACGATTCGGTAAATAGTTGGAACGCCGAACGAGTTTGAAGTATCGGCGACGGCGAGTCGCGGGGCGAGAGAGAATCGCGTTTATCGATATTATCATACGGCATACCGCCGCCTTGAAGGAACGATAGCGAGCGACCGTTAACTCGAGCCGCGACGCGACGCGACGCGACACACATGTCGCGCAAATAGCCCGCGCACGTGTGTGTGTGTGTGCGTCATACATGTGTGTATCACGCTCGTGCGCACGCTGTACACACATGCGCACGCATACACATAATTTCACGCGCTCGTGCACATACATACTTGTCCGCGCGCGCGCGCGCGCGTGTATATATACACACACACACACGTATACGTATTATCCTTTTCCGCGAAAGGCCGGGAGGACCGGACGAGACGCGCGCGCGGACGGACTCGACGACACCGTTCGGCCCCGCTTCGGAGGAGGCAGGTGAAAATTAATTGTACAGGTTTTATCGACTCGCGAGAGTCCGTCCGTGTTTTGCCCGCGTGAACCCGCGACGAGGAAGGCGTCGCGCGCCTTCGCGTCGCGTTCTAACAACACACGGGACGCCATCGATCGATTTTCCTCTCGGCGTCGTCGTCGCCTTGTCGCTCTCCCCCTCGTCCCCCCTTTCCGTCCGTCGTCCGTTCTCTCTCTCTCTCTCTCTCTTGTAACAGGCTTCCTCTCGCGCGACGCGCCGGAGCGCGATATTCGTGAAACGTAGATCGGAGCAACCGCCTCTTATTCTTATCCGCGAAATCATATTTTTTTGTTGTCGCCGCGCTCTTAGCAACGCCATAACACCACGTCCGCCGGCGTGCGCGCGTAATAATTCGCGCTGGGGTCAGCTGCTCTCCGCGATTATGTACGCGCCAGGCCGCGATACGAATAACGCGCGTGATTCGTGAACGCGATCGCTTCTGAAAGAAAATTATTTCTTCCGCTCGTAAAATCGCGTGCCCCTCCGACGCGATAAAGTTCGCATCCGATTTCGGAGCAGTCGCTCATCCGAGATCATCCCTAACGTTTCACGTTTTCTCGAACATTTGCGTTTAATTGTCTTTTTTTTTTTTCTTTGCTTCCATATACATTTATTTAGGTATATTACGTATCTTTTTATTTTCTATATCTATATGTATATTTTTTCTAATATAGATTATATATATTTTTTTATTTTAATTATATATATTTAAGTATATTTAATATACAAACATATATACTTTGAGATATTAGAGATAAGAAAGTATGTATATCGTACGTAATAATAAACACTGTCTTACAACAATAATAAAGAAACATTTCAAGGACGTCTAAAAGAAGGCGCGTGGTCGTCCTCGTCATCGTCGCGATACATTTCCATTTACGATCCTAGCCAAGTGGAAGTGGTCTGGAAAGCCGAAATGTGTGCAATCAGCGATAATTATCGAGAGTAGGACGCCTCTCTCTCTCTCTCTCTCTCTTTCTCCGCGTGACGAAAAACGAGACAGTATACGTGATGAAATGCGGCCGGTCCTTGCGCGTGTTTCACAGACGAAACCTGCGGAATCGGTGCGTCCAGGTATGCACGCACCGATGGGTACACACATACATTGTACGAATATATATATATATATATACACACGTATATGTACACTCGCGGTAAATTTACTCGCGAATTATCGCGAGAGCGAGCATCCTTTCCGCGCTCGTTGTAACTTCGCGTCGAATACGCGTATAAGGGATTTTAGGCCGCGCGCTCGTAAATCCGACTCTCACCCTCGGGGTGCTTGTCGGCAGAGGAGAGGAAGTGGCGCGAGGAAGGGATTTAAGGGTTTTGCCGCATTCTCTACTCCTACTTTCTCTCTCGCTCCTTCTCCCTTCTATATTTCACACAAAGGACCGACAACCCTCGGTAAATATTGTAAATATTACGGGCAATTTTCTTATCTCAAACGTAAAGTCTCATCCACGCATTCTCCTCTTGGTCCTTTTTGCGTAAGATACTCTTTACATACGGTGTATTTCTTTTTTTTTTTACATATATAGGTATACGATTTTATATTTATGACTCGCGTGTGAAAATCTTCGAAATTATTGACGTGACGTTTATTCCAAATTAATTGCATTCTAATATAATACGACTCGATAAACTGAAAAAAATTTGTTAACTTGACTAAATCGTTCGACTAAATATTATTTTGTTAATTGAACGTATAGAAATATATTTAAATTAAAATATAATCTATTAAATCTAACAAAACGTACATCTATATTTTGACTTAAATACTAGTATTTGTTCATTTAACAAAATAGTAATTTAGTGGAATGGTTTAGCCAAATTAATCTTTTCGCGTGCGAATACGAACAAAGAATCAATAGCAAGTAAAGAATATTTCTCTATCATTTCTCCTTTAATAAGCGCGGAAGTTAAGTTTTATTAAAGAGAGAGGGGGGAAGGAAGAGTTACAATTTCCTAAAGAATACTGGTTATACTTTTTAAATCTACAACAAATAATTTGTTTAAAACGATTGATTTACATATTTATCTATAAACACGTTTAAACATTTATCGCGACGGTCAGAGATGACACTCGATGTGATAATTTTAGTGTTAAATACATAATTTTTGACAAATATCAATAAGAAATATTTTTCCAATTTACAAATATGCCTCCTTATATTTTCCACGTTTCCAAGCTTTGTTCCTTTGCAGATTTGTGGGTGGAGGTTCTAAAAAACTAAAAATGAACAGATTTGCACCGAGTCGGCGCGGCGGAGAGGTAGGGGATAGGTACAAGTGGGGCGTAGTTTTGCGAGATCCTTTTCCCAAATTCTCATTTGCAGATTGGGTAGAAAATTTTTTAACGGGACCAATAAGCAAGCAGTTAAGGTATTAGGTATCAGTTCGCGTTTCATTGTTCACCATAGTCGTGGGGGTTGTACTATTGATACAAAATAACATAACAGGCAGATGACAAAAAAAAGGTCGGTCACTTCGTTGAGATTAGTACTAACCTTCAGGAATGGGGAGGAGGATGGGTAGATAGTCAGAAGGCCCCTCGTGCACGGCGCTAGTGAGAGCGGGGCAAGTAACGCGGAGCAGAGAGCAGAGAGTGGGAGTGGGGGAGTGTTCGCGCGGTTCGCGATGCGCAGCGAGAGAAGGTTCGGAGGGGAGAATCTTCTGGCAGTACCCTACACAGCGAACGGAGTTACTGTTAGTTCGGTCTCGTATTTAGTAGCGGAAGGAACCTTCAGTCGCGAGCGGACAGTTCCCGGGAGCAGTCGAGAACTTCAGTTGGAGTTATAAATATTCGGATACGTCGCGTAAACCGGCACATTTCTAAACGATTGAGCGATCAGTTTAGCATCTAGTCGGATAGTAGTGCATTAGGATCGAATTAGATTCGAGACAGTGCATAGTGCTCTTATTTGTATTTGGAGTATTTGTTTGTGCAACGTACAAATACGACGTACAGATATATCGGCAATTTTGAACTCGAGTTGAAATCGTTTCGGTACAGTCGTGAGATCTAAACGTACGAGGACCCGCGAGATCGTTTCGTGATTTATCAGTGACTATTGGAAGAAAAGAAATCAGTTCTTTCGTTGGTGGTCGCGCTTGATCCCGCTTTCTACATCCCGCTACTACGATCGAAGGAAGGAAGCAAGCAAGGAAGCAGTCGATGATCATCGTCGCGAGTACTCACACATATCTGAAATTCGGAGAACAACAAGAGGTCGAAGGACAAGGACACATACAAAAGTAAGCAATTCTGTATACACACTTGTATTTCCGCGAATTAGGGAGCAAAGAGCGATACTCTAGTTAAAATCACGATCGTCTAGAAGTTCAATTTTCGAAACAGTGCGCGATCTTTCAGTGTGGAACGTGTGTATCTCCATCACCGTCTCCACTTGAACGAAACTCTCGCATGCTCGCATACTCCGACGTCTCGGACCGTAACCCCGAGTTATACTACTATTCCTCGTGGCACTGCAATAACAACGTTTCCCGCGCGCAGTGCGGATTGGCTGATCGCAGTAACTGAGGAACGAGAGGAACGCTGGGGCAAACCAACGCGCACCGTTTTACTCATGCTAGCGCCGTCAGGTTGAGAGAGGAGAGCAGAGGTGAGCGGAAGAGCGGCAGAGGAATCAGCAGCAGCAGCAGCAGCAGCAGCAGCAGCGGCAACGGCAGCGGTAGCCTTGCTATAACGGAGGGCAGCGGCATAAGCGCGCGGAGGAGAGGGAAAAGAAAGAGTCAGAGAGAGAGAGAGAAGAGGAGGAGGAGGTGGTTGTAGTCACCCACCCGCCCGACCGACCGACCGAGTTGTTTCATTCATAAAAAAGTTCTTTATTACTCTCTGTGAGCGCATGTGCTATTCCACCACGGAGGAGGACCGAGTACTACTACTCCCCCGACCGGCTGTAGCGTAACACGTTTACACATTATTTACTACTGCGCGAGATACGAATCGGCGCCACACGCCGCACTGACAGCGTGGCGTACGGATCGTTCTCTTGTACGCCAAGACGTATCGTTGCATCGTTATAAGATAGAAGCAGAGGCGAGAGAAAGAGGAGGAGGTGCGATATATAAGAGTGTCATCGATATTAACGTTGTCGCGAAACCGATCAGTATGGATCAGATGGCCAATATGGATCAGATGGCCAATATGGATCAGAATTTAGAATTAATTTCTGCCGTCGATCTCACCCCAGCACGACGCACGCCGCCAAATCGTCGATCGCCGCCAAATCGTCGATCGCCGCCAATTCGTCGATCGCCGCCGATAAATCGTCGATCGTCCCGACATGGAATTGTGCAAGGTAAAATCAATTCCGATATGCAGCAGCGAGGAAAACGCGGCACGAGGACCTCGACTCTGCAAGAAAAACTTGCTGCTATTAAAAGAGTTCGCGAAGGCGAGTCGAAGGCGTCGGTGGCCCGCGATATCGGCATTCCTGAGTCGACCCTACGCGGCTGGTGCAAGATGGAGCCCAAACTCTTGAACCAGATTAAGAACATGAAAGCGAATGGCAGCTTTGACAGATTATCCCCGAATACTGTAACCTCGGATAGCGGGGCAGACTCGCCAAGCTCATCGGCATCGCGATCTCCAACCAATCTTCCCGGACCGTCGACCTTACCTCTACCTCTACCTTTACCTTTACCTTTACCTCTACCGTCAACATCAGGAAGAGAAGTTAAGACTGAAGAACCTAACAGATTTACACCCCCACCAAAAAGGAGAGCGATAGAAAACGATATAGCATCCACCTCGAATGCAACACCTTCGGTTTCATTCCCGTTATTATCTCCCGCTTTCAATTTTATGAACTCGCATTTATATAATTATCTGGCAGAATTAACAAACAAGAATTTGCTAAGTTTTAATAACTTTTCTGCGGGATATTCGAACAATATCAACTCTCTCCCCAGTACGTCAATGATAGGTACGATACCTAATACGATCAACAATGTTCAAAGAAACGTTAATGGAAAGAGAATAAGGCATCGCACATCTACATCGACATGCACAACTACGGCAAATTCAATAAAAACCCAAAGCCCTAACTTAACAGTTGTGGAAAGAGAAGCTTCCTTGGTATCGAAGCCATCAACATCAACATCAACATCAACATCAACATCAACATCAACATTAATATCACCATCGAGAATGAACGGTACTCACGTGGCCGGACCAAGCAGACCGCCGCAACAGCGCAAAACTCCCCATATTAATGACATTGCAACACATTTATATCATCGACAACAAAAGAAACAACAGATAGAACAACAGAAACAACAAGAACAACAACAACACCTAGTACAGAATCTACACCATCTAGCAGTACAACAACAATCAGAAAATTTAAATAGTACAATCGAAAATAGTTTTCAGAGTCAAATATTGAGAAATATAGTCCTTCGTAATGCAGAACTTACATTGCAGTGGATGCACGATCATCCAAACAGCATGGAAATCATGAATGGACAGTCCGTACAAACAAATACATTAAACAATAATAATAATAATATTCAAAATAATAATGCGATCGCGAACAGCAGTTCGAACGTGATGTCTCCACCTGCAGATATACACGAAGCTATCGATCACGGATCACAATTGGTCCGGTGGTTAAAGGAACATTGCACTCAGATGAATAATATATCCATTAGACAGATTGAAATAGTACAAAAATTAGTCGAAACAATTACGGAGTGGAACAGGCGAGCAAATTCTGTCTCTCAACAGAATTCAATTAGTTAGTTGATAAAAATTAGAAAATGAAAAAATAATTATAAAAAATTTAATAATTTAGTAAAAATTTTCTGTCACTATAATGTGTATAACTTGTACATTAATCTACAATTATATTTAGGTGTATATGTATATATGGGGTATGTACACTAGCGGATCCTGATATCGATAATAGAGGAGGAAGGTTTCTGCAAAATCATTTTATTAATATTTTTTGTTCTGTTTAGCTTTTACTCCAGAATCAACGAAACATTTTTTTTTAATTTGCAAGGGGGTTTAACCCCCCCCCCCCCCCAGGATCCGCTAGTATGTATGTATATAAATATTAATAAAATTACACGCATAGATTTATATATTGTTTGTCATGAAAAATTCCATGTATATAATGTAGGTGCGTGCATCTATGCGTGTATAGATGTAAAAAAAACATGTATATATATACGGATAGTGTCCGGTGACTCGCATTTAACATGTTAATAAGAGATTTCTGAGACGATTTGGAGACGATTTTTTCTCAGCGAAAATGTCCAGGCACCAATAGTTTTTGAGTTATAAATGATTGATAATAAAAGCTTTTTTGTAAACCAAGCCGTGTAAAAATAAATTATTAACAAAACTACATTTTTTTAGTTGATTTCAGGTAAAGTTTACTATAATAGAATTTTAATTTAAGGCTTAGTTACATAGAGATACATGATTTCAAAAATTGGGAACATGAAAAAAATGATGACCTTTCTCATCATTTTCGCTGAGGAAAAATCGTCTCCAAATCGCCTCAGGAATCTCCCATTAACGTGTAAAACGCGAGTCACCGGACACCCGATATAAAAGTATATAAAATTTGTACATATAACTGACCACACAATACAATAGAATATTATAAAAAGTCACATTTTGCAAGTTACCGAAGTTACAGACTGAATCGCGAATATTCCTAAATATTTCTACCTCTTTTTAATTAGTTTTCCGTCAGTTTTATGTTAGTTTTTCGTTAATTTCATAGTTACTTTTAAGATAGTTATTTTTAAGTTAGTTACTTTTAAGGTACTTTTAAATTACTTTTAAGTTACTTTTAAGTATATTCCTATTAAGGATTTTGTAATGTGTTATCTTGCTTTCCTACTTACCATAAGCATATTATCCAGTGGCTGGTATGTGATGTAATTACTAATAAACTGTACACATGTATTCCATGTATATAACTCTGGATATGGCAGTGTACTTCGTCTGATACCAGTAGATGTAAATTTCTGTACAAATTTAAAAAAACTTAGAATATTTTTAGAATTTGTTTAAAATTAGTATTATAATTCTTATATCGTGTGATATGATTTCTATATTAATCTTATTAGTAAATATTGTACTCTACATACAATATTTAATATTATGAAATTACTTTACACGAAAAAGAAACAACTTATTATAATTTAATTTTTATTTTTTTCTTGTTCTCACAACTCTCACAAGATGTTACATCCGTAACATCTAACTATTATGATTAATATTTTATCTATTGAGTTAAGATCTCTAAAAAATACATCAACCCACACACGCGCGCGCGCGCACACACACACACACATACTTTTAAAATTAGTTACTTTAAGTTAATTATTTTTAAGTTAGTTAGTTTTAAGTTACTTAGCGATATAATTTTTAAACAATTTAGACTCGTAAGAAATTACAAGAACCAAAAGGAGAAGCGCTGTGATTACTTATACAAAAATATAAATAAGACTGGCTTATGCGAATAGTGTAGGCAAATAATTATAAAAATATTTGAGTATAAGTAAATTATGGTAGAATAAATTTTTTATCATTTAAAAGTGAATGATAACACGATATAATGATAAAAATTGTAATAATTAATGATGTAACTATTAATTATTGCAGATATAAAAAAGCTTCTGATACATGACAAAAATTTTCATTATGTGATGCGCTATAGCTTTCCAATATTTAAAAAACTTTATATTATTTTTATCTTGCGTAAATATTTTTGTAAAAATTCTTTTATCTTTTTAAAAATGTTTTTAAAAATATTTTTCAAAATGTATATTTTTTTTAATTATCTAGTACACCAAAACTTTTAGTTTATTGAGTGCCACGTAGCACAATCAAATTAAAAAAAATTAATTGACTTGAAATACTAGATTAGAAACGGGAAAAGAACTCCAAAACATCGTTTCTTTATAATCGTAAAATACTAGATTAGAAAAACTAGATTAGGATTATTAGATTAGAACGGGTAGAACTCCCAAAAAGATTTTGTTAAACTTAAGAAATAGTACGTTTACGCGATTTTTCATATTTGTCAAAAACAGGAAAATGTGATCTTTCGACTTAATCTACTTTTATTATTACTCTTTTTTAATATTATTGCTTATACATACCAAAACTTTTAATTTGTTGAGTACCATATAGCGCGATCATTTTTCAAAAATTGTGATCGTTTGACTTAATCGGTTCTTCGATTACTCTTTTTTACAATAATTATTTTTTCTTTCATAATTATTTTTAATCATTTTTATAATTATAATTAAAATTATTTTTATAATTTTATAATTTTAATTAGTTCGTAGTAATTTTTATCAAAAAAAAAATTTTCTTTTTTTATTTTTTTTTTAGAAGTAAATTAGTAAGTTAGTAGTTGTAAGATTAGATGACAAAATTATAAATTTTTTAATGACGATCAATATTATAACTTTTTGAGAATGAAAACATGTTAAGAAACGTAACGTGTAAAGAAAAAAAATATAATACATGGTACTCGAATAATTAAAATAAAATTTTTGGTGTGTACTAAATAATTAGAAAAACATTTTGAAAAAGTTAAGAAAAAGCATTTTGAAAAACAAATATTTTTAAAAAGGTTAAAAGATATTTACAAAAACAATTAAAAAATTCTTTCGCAATGATATAACTTGTATATCTCTAAAAAATGTATTCGTATTCATCTTTATCCAGGTTCTATGTATGTATATATTATCTCTATTTAATTAATTAAGACATTTAATATTTTTTTATGTATAGCGCTCATATAATTTTTAGTAAAATCTTTAGTAAAAATTTTAGTAAAATCTTTAGTAAAAACTTAACTAAAATCTTTAGTAAAAACAATATAATATGATTAATAGAGGGACAAAAGTTCTAACAAATCATAACAACATTTTAATTTTATAGCGTTGCTCATTTTTAGACATAGTGTTATTCGAAAAAAAATTATAATATTGATTGTCATTGAAAAATTATTGTGATTGATATTGTCATCTCATTTCATTTACTTTTTGTATTTTGCATGCGTATAGAAACTAAAAACAAAAAAAAATAAAAAATGATAAAAATCAAAAATTGTTTTGAATATAATTTTTTTAAATATCCTTTATTTGATTTATCCTATATCCTTTATCACTTTATTTTGTAATTGATCTTTTTAATTAATTTTTAAACTTTATAAATATATGTATTTCGCGATTATAGATTAAATAATATTCTTAGAAAATTAAACAACTTTTCATGTAAATAAATAAATAATATATATATATATATATATATATAAATACATATGCATACACACAGTAACCCCGTCACCCTCTTTCAAGGGTGTCGAGCGTGTGCTCAAACGCATTTCCTATCGTAGAAAAAAAAATTAAATTTCAAAAATTTTCGATGTAATTAAAATTTTGATATAATTGACTAATTTAACATATCAACAAACAACGCAAATATAGTTGGCTTTTTATTAAGAAATTATTTAAATGAATTATATGTTTTGATTTTGTGTCATATATGTTTTAATTATTGAGATTTAATTACTAAGAAATAAAAGTATCGGGTTTTAAGGAATTAAATGTCAGTTTAATTCTTTTTCTTTATTATATACTTTCTTTTTTAGCACCATTGATAGTATAAAAACTGTAAAAAAATATTGATAAATGCCATTGATAAAGCATGACTGGCAATAAAATAAAATTGGGTATTAAAATGATAAAAGCAAGGAAAAATAGGATGAAAGGGAATTCGAACCAAAACGCAAGTGTTTGATAATAAGACAACTTGTTTCTTTACACGCAAAGTGATCCTTATTTAACTTCTAAATACACAATCTATTGCAAACGATAAAACTAATGATAATGTTCGTCGAAGTACTGTCGTCCGTTTTGTTCCCTATCTGTCTGTGTGTGTATGTGTATGAACGTACGTAACGCGCTTAGCTACGTTTTAAATTAATATCATAAATAAATGCAGATTTTATTATTTGTATCTTATGTTGACTTTTTAACTTCAATTTTTTGCTATCTCCTTTCTTTTCTATATATACATATACAATACTATAATATATATACATATATTTTGAAACGAGAGAGGACTTTTATTTATTTAATTATTCAAACAAAAATATAATTCTGACGTATACGCGATCTCTTTTACTAGTCAAACCTAGCGAATGCTGTGTTAATTATCTATTAATTTATTTGAACTAATTCGACATTGAAGTTGACACGCGCTGTTTACACGCCCGGTCTTGCAATCGATGTGTATATTATTCGCGAAACTCATGTTTTGTTTGCTCGTGTTTATTGAAGGTCGTCACTTCGCGCTCGCTCGTTCGACTTCTCGCTGGTTATGTTCGTTACAAATTATTAATCGCGATCATCTTCTCTAGCACGATCGGACTGTTGAATTTACTTAATCGTGATTGCTTCGTTCTGTAAATGCTTTTAAATACTCCACGAGGTCAGTTTACCTATTTGTTCATTATATTGTTTTTTTATCGCGCGAAACACACATACTTTACTTTTACATAGCGCCACGATCCTTAAATTTGAGAATGAAAGGGTATACATGTGTATTAGCGTCTTTATCTATAGTTATTCCATCCACGTTTTGCTCCAATTGTCGATGGACTGAACTTCGAATCTCTGTATACGCATCGTCTGCCACAAACGGTGATGGATTTCTCCAGGTAATGTAATTGCTACTTATTAGACACTATTTTGCTTGCAATTTTTTATTTATATTTAATTTTTATGTCATTACTTATTAATTGATAGAGATAATTTGAATAATAAGGATTTTGGTTAGTAAAATATAGGTATAAAAGATTAACGTCGATTTTGTAAAAGTAAACACCATTTTATGTGAATGCATAAATTTTAATTTCGTACATTAATTTCATTTTCTTGAAGTTATATATTTATACATATAATAGAGAGAGGTATTATTTAGTAGTTTTATTAATTGTCTTATTTTGCATTCTTTTTCCTGTCTATTATGATTTTATACATATAATTACTGTTCTCACACAATTGAAACACTTATATTTAATATTTAGAAAAGTTTTTTGTTTGATGTGATTTTACATGATTATTATTCACAATTATAAAATATATTCAATTATAAAATACTTATAAAACATTTATTATTAAAAATATGTTTCTGTGTAAAATTGATTTTCTTGTAACTTATAAATTGAAATAAAAACGGTATAGAAATGAAAAATAAAAGTCGAAAATTCTTGCATGTAATTTTTGTTAAAGTTTATCGTTTGCATATTTAGTAACATTCAAACTTTCTTTACTGTTTTAATTTTTTCAACAATAATTGTTATTATTGTAATTCGGCTATTTTTAACTGTGCAATTTAAATTATTTTACAAAACAATAATATGCATGTGCAATTGACTAATCTTATATAACGTAGAATAAATATATTCATTTATATATTCATAGAATACGCAAATTCATAGGTATACGTGTGTGTGTGTGTGTGTGTGTGAATTGCAAGAAAATGCAGTTAATGTAACGAAACTGAAATTTTCGGTTGCATACATCGAAAATGACGTTCACAACTTTTGCAAGACGTTAATTCTCAATATGTTGCATTTCTCTTTAATTAATATTACGTGATTTATCAAATCACTGTTTTTATTCGGGGACAAAAAAAATAGATTTATTGTTGAATCAAGATAAAAGTTTTCAAATAATAAAGGTATATTTTCTAAATTAATTGTTATTTATTATTTATTATAATTTATATTATTGAAACAACCCATCACACTTTCTCTATAATATCTCCTCTCTCACTTAAAGATCCATGTAATTTCTTTGAATAAAATTTGGCTTACTTGTACACCACATTCATTTCACATGCCAGCAAGAGCGGTCGACGATTCGCGTCCTTGGCGTGAATCTGGCGACGAAAGTTTTCCGCGTACCACAACAGCAACCTCTCTTTATCGTTGACGCACCGGTAAGTATCCGGAAGTGATTGCGCATAAGGATCCTTCGTTATCGGGATATCCGACCAGCATAATTTGATCAGGCACAACTCGCGTTGCACTTGCCGCAAGATCTCCTCGGTACATCTAATTTCCGATAGCACTTTACCGTCATTCCGCGCGTTGCTATTCACCAATTGTTCGATCTCGCATTCAGTTTTCGGACGCCCTTCCGATTCCGGATTCGCGCCGTCGTCCGACTTCCTTTCGCGTGTCTGATTCATCGTCGTTCACTGTTACGCGATTTACCGAAATCAGGGGAAATACGTATTTAACCGGCCGCAATTGTTTGTCAACGCGATTACAAAATCGCGATTCGAATTCGGATTGATAAGTAAATAACCCGCCGTTGCTATAGCAACGCGACGAGGCGCACAATGCTGCGGCGTTGCGAATAGTTATCATCGGAAGATGGCAGCACCAAACAATTTGAAATTTTTCTCTTCATATACCGTCAGTCGAATAATAGCAATTAGTGAAGAAAATTATTTATAATTTTAAGTTTCTTAAAATTCTTCACAGACTCGATCCTTCATTTATTTATTTCTTTTTTCTTTGTCTTATTGTACAGTTTATAAAATTTAATTATTTGCGCTAATTTCGCTATATTTTTGTGCGAAACAAAATAAGTATTTTTTCTTGCATCTTGTAATTTATATTATTAAAAAAAGATTCAACCAAATTCCGAGATATCAAGTTACCATGAAGAAATAAACTCATCGAGCAACTTTACGACAGAGCAACTGCACAGGGAGAGACTAACTACATCAGTCGATACATCAGCAATGATATGGTAAGGAAACGAAAAAACCAATCCAATAAATATTTCAAAACTCATAAAAAAATAAGTAAAACTTATAAATAAGTTACTTAAAATTTTCATAAAATTATTACCCAAAATTTAAGTAAAAATCAACGAGACTCACCGATTCGATGCGCACCAGCAGCGTTTCGGTTAAACACGAGAAATGCAAGAGCTTATTCACGCGCGAATAAACTGATGCTCCGTTTTCACGTCGTCGCTTTTTTCAAGGCCAACGACGACGACGACTTCCTCCGCGACGCACTCAGGAGTCACGATATTCCCGAAGTGGCCACTACACACTTTACTATATTTTATATTTACTGAATATTGATACAGGACAATAACAATATGGCGGAGCGCCCGTAGTCGTAGTCGACCTGCGAGTTTCGCAAATTACGAGGCTAATTTTGTCGCGGAACGATACTCCGACACGATGACACGAAAGTACAACCGGAAACGCGTAATTGGCCACCTAGAATACGTTCGACAACATCGAAAAACTCGGAAAATTTTCGTGTCGAAAAGCGTCTGGTAATTCTCGCGATCCGTCTCGGAAACTCGCGCGCGCAAACTTTCGGCAGCTTGAAGTGGCAGCTGTGACGTCATGCATCACGTGACAACGCGCTTTCAGGGCTGCGTTCCAAAATTTGCTCCTTGGAGTAGCCTTTGGGTGACCAATTAGAGCAAAAGAAACACAAATTTCTTTCAAGCAAAGGCTACTCTACTCCAAGGAGTAAATTTTGGAACCCGGGAGAACGACGTTGAGCGAGATTCGCGGCCGACAAGAACAATCTCGCTCGTGTAATCGCGATTTCGATATCGATACACGCGACGTGATTGGATTTAAGAATGTTAAAAATTTAATTTACACCAACGAAAAGAAAATTGAAGCCGTCAAAAGAGTGAACGTCGGGGAGTCGAAGGCATCGGTAGCACGTGCTTTCAGAATTCCGGAGTCTACGCTAAGAGGATGGTGTAAACAAAATAAAACAAATGAAAGACAAAATAATTAACGAAACAAATAATAATATTGATGAAAACCTTCATCAATTGTTACTATTCTTAGAAGGAGATCATCAGCGTATACCAGAACAACCCTCGCGTTTGCCACCTGCAAATTTAATTCTTGGCCCATCAACATCAATACGATCCAAAGGAGAAAACACTATTTTGGTACAATAGACTTATTCGCGAATAATAAACTTTTGCTCTCTGCATTTTTGCCCAATATTTTTATTGATATTGATTTTCTTTTGTTCTAGGATTTCAGTATGGTGTCGTCATCCGGGATCGCTAATTATCAACAGTTGGTCAGACGTCAACCGATCAAACGGAGAATCCTGGGTGAACGAGTCGTGCCGGATTCAACAGTGGCAAATACCAGAGTCAACCGAAGAAATTTAGTAGCTCCTCCTGGGATCCATGACACGATCGAGCATGGATCCAAATTTGTAACGTGGTTAAAAAAAATGGAACGCCTGTTGCCACGTTTCAACAGGTATTATATAAAATATTATTCAGAAACTTGTGGCATGGACCAAGTTCGAAAAAGCATCAAATTCTGTTGATGACAAAGAAAATTCGATTAACTAGTGAAACTTGGGAAAAATTGTATAAAATTCAACAATTATAAATAAATTTTCTGTTATTGTTAGTTTATAATTATATATATTTAATCTCTATAATTGTATGTATGTATATCAGCCGAATTGATCTATATATATATATATATGAAATTTTTTGCGTACAAAATTAAAATGTGACAATACATTTTAAAATTCTCTACAATATATTGTACATTCTAAAAGTCTATCGGTTTCTTTTCGCGGAAGATTTTGTATATGTATAATAGTATGTGTGTTGAGCGAAGATGTAAATATACATGCGTGCATCCATGCGCATGTATATAGATGTAAACTATATTAATGAATATAAAATTTGTATACTTATATATAATCGACCACATAATAGAATAAGTCGCATTTTTCAATCTTGGATGTCGCAGATATTGCAAATATTTGCGATATCTCTTTTTAGTTAATTAGTTTCGCGTTAGTTTTACTTTCAATTTTATTTTTAACTTATTATTGGAGATTTTGTAATTTAGCTTGTATTTTGATTTTACTTACCATAAGAAACACATTGTTCAGTGGTTGATTGCTGAATGAATAATAAACTGTATGTATGTATGCCACATAATTCTGAATATGGCAGTGTACTTCATTGTCAAATGCTAGTATATAAATTTCTGTACAAATAAAGAGAAACTTATATTACAATATTTTTAGTAACTCTTTTCATACATTTTTTTTATATTTTTGTTTTATAATTATTTTTTGTTAATACAAAAATATTATATTCTCCCTCCATCTCTCCCTCTTCACTCTTTATTATTCAAAAATTAAATTATTAAAATATAACTATAGATTATATGTTAAATTAGATAACACTATCAACGATCAATATTATAATCTTTCGAGAGTAACTATGTTTAAAAATGATAAAGTCCATGATACTCAAATATTGTAGTTATAAAAATAGTGTATATTGAATAATTAAAACAAAGATATTTTTAAAAAGTTAAAAGGTTATTTACAAAAATACTTAAAAATATTTCAAAAAAATTCTTCCGCATAATACTTAATAATATATATTATATTCATAATTATATAATTCATAAAAAGTTCACTCTTATATATACATATATATACAATATATAATTTTCCCGTAAAATTTATGGTGATACGGACAGAATTATACATATAATTACTATGAACAGAAATTACGATAGATTATAAAATATTTTTCATTTTTAGGATATAGCATTATTCTCAAAAAAAATTAAAATATTAATATTGTCATTTAATTTGACATTATTTAATTTTTATAATGCTGAGATCTTTGCATTAATAAAATGATTATAAAGCAAAATATAAACAATATAAAAATTATAAAATTAAAATAATTTTTTTGAAACGATTTTTTAAAATATCCTTAATTTTTATCCTATATCCTTTTTCATCTTATTTCCTATAGATGCCTTTTACAATTGATTTATTATATATATAAGTATACACACGCATTTGTAATATAAATATTAATTTAAAAAATTGATAAACAAGATATGCTTTTAATTTAAATATAATTGTTACGATTCTTTAAAATAATTAGAGAAAAGATAAAATCTAATATATTAATATCAAATTATTTTGTTTTTCTTTAGTTTGTCAATAATAGTTCAAAATCGAAATTTATACCTATAGATACTTATTTGTTAAGGACTGCTTTCTATTAAACTATATAATCATAATTTTGAGAATATTTTTACAAACTTTTGAAATAACTTTTAACAGACAAAAATTGAATTCTGAGAAGTCAACTTCGAAAATTAACATTATTTACTAAATACTAAAGAAATACGAATACAATAAAAGTTATAATGAAAAAAAATTACGTTCAATCTAATTAGAATAAAATTCAGAGAACATTAACAATATTATTATTATGGAGAAAAAGTATATTACATGTTCTAATAAATCATTCAGATTTAATTCTAATAAATCAAACTGCTGTCAAAGATTATCAACAGCCATAATTTATAAAATTAATTAGACATTCGATCAGAAAAAAATAATGCCCAATTGGACACGTCGTCCATCGTCTATTGTCAAATTCAAAATAAAATTCTGATTGGTCCATCGTTGCTGGTTACCCTAGACACAGATCGATATTGTTCAGCTGCACATTTACAACGTGATCAAACGCTTCCAATTCGAATAAATGTCAAAAATGTTATGTACTAATTGTCTTTCGATAGATAATTTTTAAATCTCCATTGGAATTCTATTCAATTGTCAATCATTAAGTATGGCCAAAATATTTAATCATGTAAATGTTATCTCAATCTTATACACTGCCTTTAATTTTCTTTATAATATCTGATATATAATAAGATAACTTATATTTTTTTAGATTGAAAATATTCTTGATTATAAAGGGAGTTATTCAGCAAGAAACACCTAAATACAATATTATTATATGATTGACTATCAAATAAAAAACTTTTCGGACATTAGAAATTCTCTATTGAATAGCCAACTGCGTGAGATTGTAAAATAAAATTTAAAAATCATTTTACAACTTACAATATATATATAACTCGTTATTCAACAAATAATGAGTTATAATTTTTGTTACTTTTTGTTAACATTATTACGAGGCGAAGTATTGTATACATAAAATATGTACAAAATTTACATTTTTCAACATTTTTTTTATATTAAAATATAGAAAGATCGATATTTAATAATTAAAGAAATAATAATTAATCGTAACGTGTTCCGGATTTTTACTATTAATCTAATTGACAATACTACTAGTTGTATTAATTGTACTAAATACCACAATGTGCGGTAGCAATCAATTTGGAAAGAAATTTCACTTTTACAGTAGTTTTACAAAAAATGACCCGTGCAAAAATGCAACTATATGCTTATATCGATACTTTGCATGCATATATTAATTATCTGAAGCTGTAGGGAAATCATTAAGATATTCTTTCACTTATGCTTATGTTTATTTATTAATTGTTGCGACGGAAGAGAGTCATCAAACTTGAAAATTTAATAAAAATATTCACAATGAGCATTCTTTCTTGCTGTCTCCCGTACGTACTAATTCATGCTCTCTCATTCACTTTCTTATTCTCCCTCTCTTTCTCACTTACTCTTTCTCTCACACATTCACACCCACTCATACATTCGTCTGTCTCTGTTGCCTGCATGGCCGTAACATTAGCTGCTAGAAAATGCAACGGTTGGGTGATCGACTTTTAAAAAACATGATCTGATTGATGTAGGATTAGAAGTATATTCGTCCTCAGTGTCACACCGATAATTGTCACACAACCGTTGTGCTTCTGAACGCAGCCATTCATGAGCTTATCCGCAGGTATGGATCAATCTTTTTACCATTATACCAATTTTCGGTATCTGGTATACGTGTATTATGTGTATGAATGTGTACGTGTATGTGTATATGTTTCGTGTTGCTTGGCTATGCTGGTACGATGTATATGTATATATACACATTCAATTCTTAATAATTATTAATAACAACAATAATTAATACGAATAGAAAATCATTTGACGTTGAATGACTTAGTTCGCTGAATATTAAAGTCTCTTGCTGCCTCACTGACATTATATTTTGACGTTAAGAACGAAAAATTTATATCAACTTTTTTCATGTAAACTATATGTTTGAATAAAATAGCTTCTCTTTATGTCATTATTCATATTCAATGATATAAATAAAATTTGCTCTAGAGAAGCTCTAAATTTGACTCATAAAATTTATATTAGTCGATTATGTAGAGCATATGCAAATGAGATAAATATGCATTTATTAGTGCAAGATGATAAAAAAGTTTTCGATACGTTTAATCGATGTAAACATGTATATCTTTAAAATGAAGACATATAAAAGAATTTATAATTTATTTCAGACTATCATATATATATATATATATGCAAAAAGAACATATATTTCCCGCTTTTCACGTTATTATTCAATATGACTGTAGTGAGGAAACAAAAGATCTAATTCTCCAGTAGTACTTCATAAGTAATGAAGTCGTTACAGTTCAACGATGTTCTCGATTGTTAGCATGCGTGTTCGGTCAAACGAGGCCTTTTTCTCGATTTACGGCGACTTACTCCAAGCTCCAAGAAAGAAAAAATCGTGGGAGAGCTTTCGGGATTTATTTATTTCCTTTCTGTTTTTAACTAGAAATCCCTGCGCTCGGTCGGAGCTGCCGATGACAATACACGAAAAATGTAATTTCATTTTATGTAGTTTCACTCGCTCAAGATCGAAAACAGCGTCGTGTTTCGTGTGCAGCGAATCAACATATACAATATTATCCGATTGTATTACGGATTCAGTCCAAGATGACGACCGTATCTTCACCGCGCACCGTTCTTTGAAAATGAGGAGGATGCAGAGGGATCGACAATTTGCACCACGGCTTACGCGCTGCTCTTCGCAATTCCACCGAAGCCAGAGTTCTTCTAACTCGTCTGTAATTCGATTAATTGAACAAATTAATAACACATATCGAATTTCGAATGCGCGTTATTATATACATTTATGATTATTACAAATTTATCAAATTTAGGTTAAAATAATTTATATACTATATATCTTTTAGCTTTTATACATATATCTACTATATCTTCAAAATAATATTAAGTCTTAAAAATTAAAAAAATTATATTAGAAATGAAAACAAAAATATGCACTGTTCTTTTTTTTTGCACAACTTTACTTCTTTATATAATTAAACAATAATAAAATCAAACAAGTTAAAGATTATGTAATTTTTTGAATTTATATTTATTATTGATTATCTATGCACTGTATACCTGTATGTGTGTGTGTGTGTGTGTGTTTGTGTTAATCCAGAAAGTTATACATTACTCATAGCTTATCTGACTGCAAAATTTTAATTGTTTTGTGAAAGTAATTAAAAAAAATATAAATAAATAAATGTATTCTAGTTTCACTTTAATTCTTACACCAATTTGTTATGTACACTAAAACTTAATACTGACTTGATGTGCTCGTTGGCGCGAAAGTATACATCATCAGGTGCATCCATCCATGATATCACTTGTTTACGTGCATTACTTCTGGACATTGGTACACCATGGGGCAGCGTATGTGGATGAGTAGCTCTACCGTTGAGAGGTGGTGCGAGAGGAAGAACAGCGGGCGCAGCATGTTCTAGCGTGTGCTTCGGATGCAGTTGCTGCGCGTGATGAATCCTTTTCGGAGGAGGCGCACCGGGAGGAAGCCCCGCATTTAGAGCGATACCTAAAAACGGAAAAACAAAGGCTGCGTTAGATTTAAAAAGGATTAGCTTGATTTGCGAGATACCTTCGTGGTGTGTGTTAAAGTTAATATTTCGTATATCATATTAATATTTCATATATTCCTTGATATCATAACTTCAATTATTTAGACAGTAGTTTTTTTATTCTTAAGAAAACATTGAAAGGAATGCTTTTTAATGACATTGATAGCATTAAGACTAACAGCTCTGAGAGCTAGTTACAAGGCTAAGCAGACAACAGTTTGAAAATTGCTTTGAAGAATGGAAAAGACGCTATCATCAGTGTGGAATTTTCCAAAAGAAAACTACTTTGAAAAGGATTACAGTGATAATCCATAATAAATCAATATATAGCAATTGTACCGTGATAAGTTTGTAAATTTTATTGTCAGATCATGTATGATTCATGTATGGTCAAAATCCCATCCATGTATAATATAATAATCTACGGAAACAACCACTTATAGCTAATATCTAGATAAAGAAATAGTTATTTTGAAAAATTTAATAATACATATGCAATGCACCTGTTAAGATGCATATAAAATTTCTCTTTCTTCGATAGTATTTATAAAATTTAGCATAAGTAAAAAGAAAAAACATAAAGACAGGAAATTGCCCTTTCATCTGAGAATATTAATCCTTATTGTTGTTACCTGCCGACTGATTACCTGTTTTTCAAATCTTTATAAAAGTATTTTTTATAATAAAACACAAACATATAATGTTACAACGATAAATTTAATTTTTAATTAATGAATGTTAATCGCTTCTCTTATGAATGAAAGATTGAAAGAATTATTATATTTTCATAGTAGAGCAAAATTATTACAATATTTTGCAATTATTCGTTAGTCTTGAATATTGTCAAATTAATTGCCAAATATTCTCAAAAAGCACATATATTACATCTTATCGCGATTTTCATAACAAAATCATCAATGTCACACTAAATTTCAATTTTATCTTCATCCCAATCCACATCCGAGTAGAAACCGATAAACAGAAACAAAATTCAGTTCACTATGAACTCGGAATTGTACGACCTAATGGATAGCGTGAATCAGATTGGATAACTTACCATCAGAGCCATTGATTTCGTCAAAGGCTCTTGGACGCTTCAAGATATTCTGCTGGGTCGACATGACCGGTTGCGGTTGAGGTGGTGTCAACGTGACCCTATCCACTTCAGGTTTATTCGGCACTCTCTCGTATAAAAGACTGCCGTCTATACAATATTAAGTTTCTTATAAAACAATGTATGTAATATTAGGTCATACAAATTGAAACGAGCCAAAGGACAGAGCAAAATGCTGTATAGGTTGTTTATTGCAGAATCTTTGACGCGAAACAGACTCGATAGAATTACAATCATATGTCGAGAATAGCAAGACGTCATGCTAATATACAAACAGTCCAGATAGTCAGAATGAAATTAACGTTAAACAACGAGCAGTGAATTCGTTAATTTGTAGAATCGCAAAAGATGTGAGGAATATACAAATTCATTGCTACACGAGTATAAAGTGTAAGAAAGCTGCATGTCTTTATTACGCGTCAAAAACTGGAGTAAGCGAAGAGAAGCGATTAACGTTAACATTAAAACATTCAGCGTTTGTCGATTTTATTCTGATTGTTTGAACGGTATAATGCGACTGTCATGTGATCATAATTTTACCAGAGTGTCGTATAACACTACAGTAGTATCATGTTTGTTTGGCATCAAAGCACAATGAACCTATTCAGCATTTTCCTATGTTTTTTGGCTCATTTTTTATGACCTAATATAAAGAACCATCTACATAATTTGAAGCACATCCCGTAAAATCTCTATTCCGTAACATTTTATATATATATAAAATTTGCAATAATTTTCAAGATATTTGCATGCATTCTTTAAAATAAAACATTCTTTGTGTGAGTTATGCGTACATATATAAACTATCATTATTATCATTTATTATATATTGATTATTATTATAAACTAATGATTATTATTTGTTGCATGATATGTGATTATTATATGTAAATATAAACTATTATTACTTACCAGGTGCCTTTGGCGGACGTGGAAACGAAACCCGGTCGGGTTGTTTGCGTTGTGACGGGGTGGTTAGCGCCAGCCAATCCCAGTCGCCGGGCTGTCGCGGTGCAGGATGATCGCCTAAACGCGAAGCGATGTCGGTCACACGTGGACGCGGTCGCGGTCGTACGGCGCGCGCCAGGATACGAAGTTCCGCGGGACTCTTGGAAGCTAGCTGAACGCATAAGTGCCGCAACGACGTTGTGTTGACCGGTTGATGCGGCGCTCGCGCGGCATGACGCGTTCGCAGTTGCGCGGGGCAGAGTCGGCGTGCGGCGCGAGCCAGTAGGGAGGTGCGCAGGTAGAAAGCGGATCGTGTCTTCATAACTGGTCGCGGTGATCCGCTTCCACCGCCACCGCTTCCGGCGGCTCCACGCAGATCCACTCCATGCGCACTCGTGTAATGACGGCTCAAGTGAGCCTTCAATTTAAACTCTTTGCCGCAAGTGGGAACGTTACATCGATGCGGCCTATGCGCGCCACCCATTCCCTTGCTCTCCTCGTCCGATCCGGCGCCGGCACGTTTTCTCTCAAGATCGACATCGTCGATGCGCGATGGCACCTGTAGTTCGTGATAATAAAATAGAAATGTGAAATATACTCGTATACTAGTATTATTATCAAAAACGAGATGTTAGAAGCAACAGAAGAGTACGCCTTATATAACCTTAAGTCCTCCGTATTTCTTCCAGTACGTCCAACAAGACTGACAGAGACGATACTGCATATGAGACGGTCCCCATGCATACCATTGCGAACTCTGCACGCTTTGACAGCCTTCGCATGGTTTTCCACCGACTCCGACCATAAGTATTCCAGAATTGTCGGTCACCATGCTACCGTTACTGTTACCATTCAGAATGCTGGTTGGTTTTCCGTTACTATTGCTGTTGCTATTGCCCAGAGGTACAATTGTGGCCGTAGAAGGTGCAGTAGTCGATGCGGGGGTCTTATTGTAATTTGGTATGTAAACTTGTTTCAGCTTACTCTCCGCTTCTACGGCCTTCACTCTTTTCTGTTGAACATATCGATCCGTCGTTTTCCACATGTAATAATACTCGATTACATTCTTCAGTGTTTTCCATGGTAACTGAAGAAAACATAGGGAGAAACATATTAGTAAACTCGTTCGAATACAGTGTTAGATTCTTATTCATCCGTAATTGCATTAATTGTATACTTACAAAGTCCGTTCGTATATCAACAAAGTCCTTCCCATATTTATCGAGCGCTTCTTCGAACAAATTTGCCTCAGACGCGCTCCATTCTTCCATCTCGTCCCGACATAGCACCGGACCAGTACTAGGTACTAATGATGCTAAGGCATTAGATAAATCATAGCCGTGCATATGTAGAGTATCCATCGCGTGAAACTGTAATAATGCAATTCGCAAAACTTAATGAAATTTGAAACGGAAGAAATTAATTTTTTACACTTTCAGAGATAATACATGAATACGTCTTGAAAAATAGAGTGTAAATTCTTACCAAAGTAATATCTCTAGATGCAGCAGCTGCAGACATGTGCAAAGAAGGTTGCTTGATCGAAGACGAACAGTCCAAGGCTCTTGCAAAGGTGCCTACTGATCTACTAATAACTAGGAATTGGTCAATTTGACGATCCGTCAAATTGTGTCTCGGAGTCCAAACTAGGGTCTCTAGATCTTGCAACTTACGAGAATCCGCTTCCTTCTCTGCGGCCGACAACACCGCCGGTATATCTATCGCCTGATATCTACTTCCTACCCTAATTTCACCTATAACAGACATATAATTTAATTTAATTAATTTTCCAGCTATTTGCAGTGTATAATGCAGCGTATATAATAATTACACATAATACATTACTAATAGAAAGAAAAAAAAATTAATTAAATATATTTAATTTAATACCTATATACAAACTGACATGTTGATTTACCTTTGTCAGCAAGCAAAGTACGCTGAGCAGGATCGAATACTAAACAGTAAAAAATGAATCCTCCTTGTTCAGATAGCTTAACAAAGATTCGGTTTCGTTCAGTAATGTTACGCAGCATTTGCCCCGAATGTGCGTAGCAGGCATGGTCTCCACTTGTCGCGATAAAAACAATTCTCTGTGTTTCATTTGGTGACGTTGCTTAGAACTTAATTCCGTTACTCCACCAGGAACATTTTCTTCCATCCCTATACATAATGAAAAATCGAAATAATATTTGTGCCAATCGATACTACTACGAAATGAGATATATCTATTGTACGAATCGACAAAAGAGTTCAAGTTACAAAAATAATATATTAATAATAATAAAAAAGATTGAAAACATTTCATATTTATGCAAATAATTTTAAAACTTGCATAAACGTTTCTTTTTCTGATAATAGATAGAAAACTACATAGAAATGATATATAGAAAACAGAGTTTGGCTTTCTTGGTTAAAAAAATTAATTGTTAACAAAAAAATACAGAGAAAGAGATACATGATAATGGCGAGAGAGATATACCGTATCGTACATAAGTATGTATAATGAATAAACACACGAACAGAATGCACTTGAATTTTCATATTTAAATATCCATAAAGTTATCGTCATTTTTTCGCTTTTCTACTAATTGTTATGTTATTTATAATAAAATTAGTATCAAGTTAAAAAAAAAAAAAATTAATTTCTCGCAATATATTTTCGCAATATTCTTTCTTCGGTAAATCGAAAGAATCCTAAGGGGTTACAGTAGGTTTGTTTTCTGTTCCTGCACTAATGGAACTAGTGCACACTGGTGCAATAAATTAGAATGAGACAAGTATATTTTGTCTCACTCTAACTAGTAGTTTATTAGTGCAGGAACAGAAAACAAATCCATTATCTTTTCTGATTTTTTACTCTCGTCTGATTATATTTTGCTCTAAGTTAAAGTAATGAAGTAAATGAATAGGGCAGAATCAATCAAAACTCGAGCAGAGTGCTAAATAAAAAAGGAAAGATCAGCAAGAGAGCGGGCAAACATAAAATCAAATGAAGAGTGATATATATAATATGCAAGACAAAATAATATAATAATCTGCAACGGAAAAGCGATTATAACTATCGATAGAAAGTTACGTCATTTAGAGAAGCCTCAGATTACTAAAGTGTCATCGTATGCGATGCGGCGGGATTTTTTTTTTTTAATTTGTGTAAATGACAAGTGAATGACGATGAAGGTATATGTCGGGTTGATTCTACTTGGCTCGATGATAAATAAGAGAAGATCAAATATATAAATTTAAAACTGGCCAACAGATAAGGTCAAGAATGCTGACAAATAAGATATATTTATGAGAATCTATATATTATACGAAAAAAAAAAAAGAAAAAACACGATAATATAGATGGATAAGGTATTTTGTATGACATTTGCGAGTGAATATGAATAATGAGAATGACTTGTACATGTATGGGCACTTTTGTGACAAAATCACCGAACCCCAAGTCGATTAATCTTGAAAAAGAAAAAGGAGTTCGGTTATGCCCAATTTACTGTCTCTTTGGCCTTACAGTGAAGTTGCCTTAACTCGCGGTATACACCAAGATTACAAAGAATTTTCTGACAAATCCCGCCGCTATGATCAGTTGCCTTGTATCGTCACTGGCTTCTATACAAGATTAATGAGATAATCAAAAGATGCAAGCCGTATGCCGTTTATCGACGAATCTATGCCTCTGCATTACTAAACGCATTTATTTATATTTATATACTCTGCGAATAAAATATATAGTTTTAATTTTACTAATAAAATTAGAGTTTAAATCCTCTTACAATATTATATATTTATAATATATATATATTTACATTTATTTATAACTGTAATTATATAAATACAGTTCATATATATATATATATATATATATAACTGTACTTGGAAAACTATTTAAAAATCAATATTGTGTTAATCGAGATTAAAAAATATAAAGTAAATGAGCAAAGTATTTTTACTCAGTATTGATTACTTTAATATTGAAATATGAGAAGAATAATAAAATTATAGCCGTAAGTTAATAATATATCATTCGATAAAGAATATAGAAAAATTAATCGTTTCGTATAATTAAATTCCTACATTATATGTATATATAAAATGTACAAATTGAATCTATGCAAGCCTAATAATTGTTCGCAATCATCACAAAATGTTGGACAAATAATTTTGCGGATATAGATTAAGATTCATCGGTAATGGTCATCTTTTGATCAGTCTGCTCTCACTCACCATGGGGCTCTTGGGCCTCCGATAATGGGGCCTTCAGCCAGCCCCTTTCCCGCCCCTTTGATCATCACTTTGGGCCCAATCCCATCTTTACTAGTCATTTCCTTAGTAGTGTCAGGGTTCTCGAGTTTCTGATTCTGCGTGCTCGCAGGGGATTCCGACCTCTGCTGCTCCGCGCTCGCCACTGGAATTTTCATTACAAGAAACCCACTTCTAACGTATCTCTCGTTTTCTAATCTTCTACACGATAGAACGCTTCAAGATATATGTGTATGTATACTGAACACACTAACCGCTATACCGCTATTTTACACTCCATATCACGAGAGAATCGTTCATCTCTTTACGCGCTCGCGTCTCTTCATCCTTATTAACTTACGTATCACTTATACATTACACCCAAAAGCGTTTCACGACTACAGTTTGCTACTCGGGGGACAAAAAATTCGATCCCTCTTTCAATCGAGTGCGATTGCGAGGAATATTATCATCCCGGATTGGACTCATAATTCTCATTATCGCCGCACACCCGCGTTACTATTTACCCATTCATGGTTCCGCGTCGTATATTTTCGCATTCGCGACATATCAGATCAATACCTCACCGCACCGTTGACCGTTACTCCGCGAGAGTAGTGGATCAAAATACCCGGCATCGATTATTCATTTCGCATTTCAGACGTGCGTAATACGACCAAGTAATGCTCTCTGTGTGTGTGTGTGTGTGTGTGTGTGTGTGTGTGTGTGTGTGTAATTATATAGCGCGCGAATTTCGGGGCCCGAGGCTCTTTCTCTTTCCATTACGTTTCTCATCGTCCTTACACGCGTGTACGTATAAAATAAAATGTGAAAATCATCCCCAGCGCTCCGAGTTTTCGTACCCTCCCTCCCCCTCCCTCTGGGGGGGGGGAGGAGGGGGGCACCGGTCGATCGGGCAAAGGGTCGACGCGCGTAAACGAGGTAAAAATTATTATTATATACACGTCGGTCGAACTTTCGGCCGATGTCTAATTAGCCGCGAATTTTTTTCTTCTCTCTCTCTCTTCCTTTTTTTTCCTTGCAACGCGCGTGGAAAGAAAAAAAAAAAAAACCTCGATATAGCGTCGGCGAGAGTATGGAGACTAAAACCAATTTCTCTGTATAAAGCAGCCCTTTTTCTTTGACCCTTCCCACCCCACCCCACCCCCACTCTCGATTCCCGTTTGTAATCGCACCACGGGCACACCCGGGTGTGCATGGTGTATCGACTTCCGCGAAAGACAAAGGAGAAGCGTATATTCTTTTTTTTTTTTCGCGAAAATTCGAGGTATACCCGGAGTGCGAGAGAGAAAATACGGCGGAAGGGAGAAACCCAATTCGGAGCAAATACCGCCGGACGGACGCATATACATGGACGACGAGCCGTTACATATATACACGAATAAGACACAGGCAAAGAGAGAGAGAGAGAGACATACACATATACATGGCGCGCGAAAGACGAGGGGAAGGGAGAAGCGGAACGGGGGGGGCTTCGGCAAGGGGGACGAACTGGGAGAGTGGTAGCGAATGCTTAAAACGAAGATGGCTAGTAGGGCCCACCATTTTCGCCCGGGCACACACGTACACATACATACACGTGCGTCTGTGTGAGAAATACACGTAACATATACCCAAGCAACCCCTGCGTCAGCCATCCATTTAGTTGAGGGTGGTGGGTGGGTGGGTCGGGGGTGGGTGTGCAGGGGGGCAAAGAGGGGGGTCGAGGGAGGGACACAGGGGGAAGAGAGGGCCGGGAGGTAGATGGAGATGGAGGAGGATGAAGAGGTGGAAAAGGGGGACCTAGCGGGTGCACCAGCGTCCCCCTCGTCTACCACCCCCTCCCCCTGCCCCCTTCCCCCCCCCCAGGCAGATCGATACAACCCCCGTCTCTCACAACCCGCCCAACCACCCCCGCAACTTTACTTATTATACATTCCCACCCCAAATCCCCGCGTCTCATTATCTTTGTCATTGCGAAGGAAAAATCGAGAAAGCCCGGAATAACGTGTAACTGTACATATAACGCCGTATATATAACAGAGCGAAACAGAAATATGCGCGTGCGTGTGTCTCTCTCTCTCTCTCTCATTTTCGCTCCTTTCGGAGAATGTATCGATGTCCGGCGAAGACGTAAACGGATCGTGTTACGGCCTAAAAATCGACGACGCGTGGGAAAGCGTTTCTAGAAGAAATCGATCCGATCGATTCCAGAAATCGATTTTCGACACGTTTGTAGATATTTTATATTTACGAGGGTCGTCTCTCTCTCGGCAAGTGACCTAAGATACGTGATTGCGGTCGTGTTGTTTACACGATGACGATTACAAAGGATAGTTGTAACGTCACGCGACTCTTCCCTCTCTCTCGTCGATAATGATCGCCAAAGATCGATAAGTGTCTGGAAATTGCGACCGCAGAATCTTCCGAGATGAAATTCGAATGTGCTCGCGCGGGATGAATTTTCCTCACCTATATGAACGGTTATCGATTTGCCGTACTGTCGGCGACGGTTAAAACCAACTCGTCTTTTACCCTTATGTACTCTACGATAATTCCGAGTCTCGCTCGCATACGTGGAGAACGAATTTTTCGAGATTTTGGATCATATCGCGAAAGCGTTCCACCAGCGTTAGACGAGGAAAGATATACATTTTTACACCTTTTCTCGCGTTACGCTTATTTGAAAAAAAGACGATCTTCGAGTGTTAAATGTTAGTATAGAGTGTTAGTTGATATTATAATATTTAAGATCATAGAATGTGCTCAGAATAGAGATGTTCGAGAAGAAATTTGTTTCTACATCTATACTATTCTAAAACAGGGAAGCGTTTATCTTCTTCGCGCGAGAGAAAAACGTGTATAAAGCGATGGACAAACAATTCGAACAATTCTACTCTCTGACGACGAAGACTCTAACGCGCGATCCTCCCATATATTTGCAAATATTTACGATAACGCGTAGTCGTAAACGTGTGCTACTTACATTGATGTTTGTCCGCGAGCATAACTAAGGTAGAAGGCAAATCCCTCCGCCTGAAGAAGCACATGACTTTTGCTTCCACATTTCCATTTGCGGTCTGCAAAAACAGGAAGTTGATGTAAAGAGATATCAAAGTTACGAAGAATATGTGTTTTTTTCCTTATCTATCGTAACGAACGCATATTTTACGTATTAATATTAATTTATATACGAGACGACTCAAATTTATATAAAAAATATATATATATATGTTGTGTAATAAAATATGTAATAAATGATTACAGGAATAATGAAATGCGAAGGTGCTTGTAAGTCTTACCTTATTTAATTCTTCTATCCTTCTAATCTGGTATGGTGCTGAGGTGGAAGTCTCGAAATACACATAATCTAAAAATTAGAAACCAATTAATGATCTTGTTGCACGAGAATTATATAATATAATCGAGAATTCGCACGATCCTTCTCTCCTTGGATATATTTAATTATCTTATAAGGATCTCTGAGAATAAATTTCTTTTTCTTTCCGTAAAATTTCCGTTATAAATATACAACGATGTCCCAAAATTATCCGATGTCCTTGCAATAATAGATTCTTTATATTCGACTTTTTCTTAATAGAAATGTCGAGACGCCAATAATTTTCGAGTCACGAGCAATTTAAAAGTTTTACGAATCAAGGCTTCTTGCAAATTAAACTTCGAGAAGCCAAATAGATGACAAAAAACTACATTTTTTGTTAATTGCGGGTGATTAAATGCAAGTTTATTTTTTAAAAAATTAATATTAAATCAGAAATAAGTCTAAGTATAAACGATACAAAGCGTAACACGAAGCATGACACACAATATAAACGGAAACAAATATAAACGCACACAACTTTTAACAATGTGCATTTTTACGAAAATTTTTATTCCCGCTTTAAACAAACTTTCCGAAATTTTTTTCTTTTTGTCTCTTCAATTTCTAAAAAGATTACTCGGTGAAAACACTTTGAAAAAATTATCGATACATATAGTGTATGTATATATACTTAAATTGTAATTAGCATAATTAAGAATGTTCGTATTTAACGAAATTTTGGATTTCTGCTTTTAATACGTTTCCGAAAATTTCTTATCGTCTTCTAAATTTCGAGATCACGATGTATTTTTTATTGAAAAAATTACTGATTATTTATATATATATATATATATAATGTGAAAAATTGCAATATATCAATAATTCTTCAGTGATATTTTCCATAAAAGAATTGCTGAAGAAGCTATTGTTCGAAAAAAGGTTTCCAACGTGTGTTTTACATCAATAATTCTTCAGTGATATTTTCCATAAAAGAATTGCTGAAGAAGCCTATTGTTCGAAAAATGTTTTTTTCACCTAAATGACCATCGAGCAAAAATGTGAACAAAAGGTGAGAAAATAAAAAAAAAGAAGCATTTTCCTCGAATTTATTTCCTCAGAGGGGGGGCTACAAAAAGAAAGGATTCCCGCGAAGAATCTTCGCAAAAGATTTAAGATAAATGATTTCCGTTAGGAGGCGTGCACATGCGTTTGACAATAGCGGAAGGTCGAAAAGGTACGAGAATATTGAAAAACGCGGGCAGAGCCGGAGCATTCGGTTCTCTATTGTGAAAAGAAAACCGTTGGAAGGTGGCACATGGCATCTCATGCAAATAAATATACACCGATATATACGACGCCGAATAGAGGGAGAGACGCGAATTCTAACACGGAGTATCGCTCGGGATCCAATTTTGATCCGCGCGAGATTTGTCGCGCAAGAAATTAGCGTGACCTGGACGTGAGAGAGAGAGGACGGGTGTGCGGGTGTACGGGAGGGGTAGGGGGAGGATAGAGAAGAGAGAAGAGGAAGAATGGAGGAGTCGGGCGGGAAAAGGGGGAGGAAAAGCCGAAGCGCGTAGGTAGGTAGGTATAGGACGTTAACGGGGGGGGTTGGGGGGAGGGAGGGGGAGCACAGGGGGAGAAACGGACAGGGCGGCAGGGGGAGCGGAGGGGGACGAGGGGGAGTGGAGGGTACGAGGGAGATCCAGATGAAGAGTGGAAAGAAGAGAGGGAGCGCGCGGGGGGACAGAGGGGGGGGGGCGAGAGCGGCGGAATCAAAAAGAGGGGGAAGAACGCGCCGCGCGGAGGGTACAGGGGACGCCATTGCGATGCCATTTGCAAACATTAATTTCTCGGAGTTAATTAAACCGCCGCTGTCTCTCTCTCTCCCTCTCTCTCGAACGATTCGCGGGGAAGCGTCGTTCGGCAAAGCGGAATGCAATGCGGTTTTACTTTACCTCCCACCCGGTACATGTTGGCCGTCATGTTGCTGGCGTCCTGCGTGGACCCGAGAGCGAAATTGGCGTTCTCGTGGTTACCGTGGCCCTCGTGGTATTCGGCCGGCATCGGCATCAAGGCTTCTCGTCCTCCGCAACGTGTTACAATTTCACGATCTGTGCCGCCGATCGGCGACACTCTATCTCGCTCCAGCTAGCTATCTGTCTCTCGCGCTATCTCTCTTTCTCCCGACACAGTCCCGCAACACGCTGGCTCCTCTCGTCGCTTGCGGATAGTCAACACCTCGCGGCGTAATCACTCCATCGTGTTTATTTGTCCATTGTTGAATTTAAAGCTATTTAACTTTCACTACGTCCTATATATCTCGTCGCCTCTGCGTCCTATGCCCGTCTGTGGTGCTGTCCCTCGAAGGTTTTCTATTTGCCCCAGTCCTTCTCTCTCTTTCTCTCTCTCTCTCTTTGTCTCTTCCCTTCGCCTTCGCCCCCCCCCCCCACCCTCTAGTGTGGTGTCCCTTCGAAGAGGATACCCCAGCACGGCTGTTGCCGATCGTGTGTACGATACACACACTCGGGTGTGTATATATATATATATATATACACCGTTTTCACAACCGTTCACAGTCCGAGTTTACGATCCGAATCTCCCGATGTGCGAGCGACGTGTGTTGCGGCGAGAAAGCGGCGCGCGACGCGCACCGGAAGTGCGAAAAAAAATTCCAACGTACGTACTCGTGCGCGCGTACAGAACGCCGTAGAACAGGTGACGATCGTCACCGCGGGCCACTCGCACCCCCCCGTTGCACCCCCCTGCAATCGCGGAGCCCCCTTTAATTCGCGATCAGCGAGCGACCGCTGCCTCCGTTCGTCAGGGAGCCAACACGGCCCGCCATTTTCGTTTCGGCGAGCCGCTAAGCACGCACGACCGGACAAGGCCCCCCCCTCCGCCCCCCCAAGACTCCTCGCGAGGGTCCTCGCCGATTTCGCGGCGGAATTCTCTCCACTCGCGCGAAACGCACTTGTCTCTCGGCGCACTTCACCACTCGGCGATCGAACGATCGATTCCGTTTCTCTCGCTCTTCAACCGTGCTTGTCCACGTCGTCGCGATCGAGAGAGCGCGAGATCGCCCGCCTCTCTTCCCGCTCTCGCGCCTGTGCGACTCGTCGCGGAGAAGCCAACGCACTCACGAACCTCGATCGCGGAGAGACAACGAGGTGGAGAAGCGTAAACTCGACGCGAGCGCCGCCACCGGAATCCCGGCGAGTGCGCGCCGTGACTAGAGAGGCGACGCGGTGCCGCGCCCCGGTTCCCGTTTCCATCAACTTTTCATACGTTTTCCGATCTACGGTTTTTCCAATCCGTGGCGCGCCGACTCTTTCGCGCTCTTTTCTAGTGACATTCGTCGCGACCAATCAGAGTCGTCGACTCGGCATGTTTTCTACGATGGCGCCAATTTTAAATTTACACTCTATACATTCTTTTTGGATTTTTTTTATCTCGCAACGTGAATTTTAAATTAAACATTTTAATTTAAATCACATGTATATATCAACGTTAGATTGTTTATATAAAATACTAAGTACACGATAGATGTACGATATATATATATATATATATATAATAGATATACAACATTAAAAAATGAAACGAGTTGTTTAGGATTTTTAAAAGTAATTATTGCGGTATTTACCGTAATAAATAAATAATTGAAAGGATAGATTTATTCAATATTACAAGAAAATGATTTCGTATATATGCAGGTAGCGAATAAACGTGTAAAATTACTGCTAAAAAAGAGAATAGAGAGCTGATATGGTAAGTGAAATAACATGGTGAGAACTAATAATAAATAGTATATGAAATATTTATATTTATACGAAATTAGTCTCTCTTTTCTATACAATTGCTCTAATTGCGCAATCACATACTTTTTTCCAATTTTCGTTCGAGTCGCTATAAAGAATGCGTAAGTCGAATAATTAAAATTACTCATTTGTAGAACCTGTGCGAGCTTGCCTTCTTTTTTCGTTAAATGCCTCTGACTAAATAATAAATAGAGTAAAAAAATGAACGTCAATTCGATGCAAATATATATATATATATAATATATATGTACGTAACACAAAGATATATTTATTATATACATATAATAATAGTGCCTTTTTTTTATAATACATATCCATAAGAATGTTTATAATTTAATTTCATGGAATTTCGATAATTACTTGTAAGGCACACCCCACGGTCTTTACTAAAGTAATTTTGTATGTTGTCTCTGCATTAATATCATATAAATAACTGTATACTGTTGTGTGGATATTCTATTAGAGCCTAAATTTTTATTATGCGTTTCTATTTTTTAAGAATAATTAATACGCTAGATATAGAGGCGATATAATAATCTGTTCTGTACATAATCCTATGTCTTTCTTATCGATTCTTTTATATAAGATAGATAATATACCATTCTTATTAATGGTTATAATGACAGTAACATTATAAGAATAACGGGAAAATGCATAAATGAGATGCACAGGGATGTGTATTCGTGTGTGTGTGTGTGTGTGTATGATTTGTTTGTGCATCTTTCATTCTCTTCGTCGCAATATATAAAATATGAATAGTAACGTCGAAAACAAAAAAAAATAATAAAATATATGAATGCAATATCACTAGCGCATCGTCCAGTCGCTAATACATTTTCATATTGACAATATATAGATTTACGATTCGTCATAAATAATAAAAATAATAAAAATTCGCGCGCCGATTCTTTTTTTCTTTTTCTTTTCTTCTTCATTCACAAATCACGTATAATAAAAACATGTGTAACGTATACACACACCTAGAGTGGCATTTTTCCCCATATTTTTTTTCTTGTATACTATACCACACTTTCGTGTAATTTTCCTCTCTTTTTAAAATCTTGCAATATTAATATAAAATACCTATGCCGCCGTCGACAATTTATGCATTTGTATATACAAGTACAGCTCTCCCAGAATCCAACTATCTGGATCTTCTCATCATATCTCTACTTACTAAAAAGATACTATTGTTGTATGAATAAAAAATACTAATATATCGCATTGTCGTTGCACGGGCAGTGTTTGCATAGTGTTTCATCCATCGATAAGGCACCAACTCTATTGGGATCCTGAGATTCAACCCGCATGCTTCGACAGATTCAGAGGCATATCTGCGGATGAGAAATAACTCGTCAACTCGTCTTATCCTATTCGATTTTTAACATTTATATATATATAATAATTATATAATATATAATATTAAAGTAAAATAAAAAATAAAATATAATGCATACCTGAAGGAGGTGTGAGAGTTTGTTCCCTGTAGTCTTTATAATGTGGAGATGATGGATGAGTAAGCGGCGGTGCGTACAATTGCATAGGAGGCGGATAGTGGACGGGAGACGGATAGTGAGGTGCCATCCATAGAGGCGCCGCTCTATACGGTCCGGGCAACATCGGCAATCCATAGAGCGGATGATGAACGGATGTATTGCTGGACCCGGTGTAGGGATCGATTCGTACCCTCGGATAAGTGTTAGTCAATGAGTATTTTACAGGTTGCCGGTCGTCTGGCTTCAGTAACGTTCTCAAGAAGCCTGGGGACTCGGGACTCGGTTTGTTCTCCGCCAGGATACTCGTTATACTGTACGACGACAGCTGTTTCGCGGAGGGAGTCGGCGGCGCGCTTGTCGCGCAAACCGGTTGCGGAGTAGCTCGCCTCTTGGACGCCTGATCCTCCAGCGAAACTCTTTCCATCTCTCGGAGTATACGTTTGCGAGGCGAGACGACATTAGGATCCAGACGCGACAGTTTATCGATGATCAGACCCAGAACCTTGCCCGACGATGACGTGCCGTTCAATTTTCGAGATGACTTTGTCGGATAAGGCGCCGTTGATTCCGGAACGAGACTCGCAATCGTAGGATCTAACGGGCGTCTGCGTTTTTTTGCTATTAAACGAGGATGCGTGCATAGGCGAGTCTTCGGATTTCGGCGATAGTAAAAATTAAATTCCGTTGTTATCCTGCGTCGGGGATGGGTCTGTTTCCAGCAGTGATCTCTCTGCCAAGGACTGGACTGAACCGACGAATTGTCATCGGAAACTGAAAATTTATTACAACACTTATATTTTTATACGACGGTGAAAATTAAAATGGAAAAGCTTTATCGCAAATTAAATAATAAATAAAAAAATGTTGTATACGACTCACCACTAAGGGAAGTAGAGCTCTCCTGCCGATTCGGTATAGTGCTAGCAGGTGGCCAAAAAGTTTTCTTTGGCACGGGAAACCACGTAGTTTTCTCTCCATCCCTGCGATGAGACAGTTCCAAGATAAACTTTCCATCTTTGAAGAATTTCAAGCGACCTCCCGGGGTCGGCAGGCTGTTATCGATGCGTGCTTCCGTGTGATGAGCCGGCTGGGGACTTGAATTTTTACCATTTGCCTTGGCAAGGGTTGGGTGCAATGTTGACGGATCACGCGAGCACATTTCTGTCGTGCCCCTCACGTGAGCTGCGTGAGCATGACATTCTGCTGACTTTTCACGCATGCTGATACTTTACCGGTATCCATTTTCCTCCACTTGGGCTTCTCATACTTTAACTTGTCAGGGTATCCATACGATACGATGAGGTGTGACAGGACTCGTCTGTCTCCAGTTGAGTCACCTGACTCGAAGAATCAAACCCACGTGCATAAAACGTCGCAGTACTCGGATTCGACAAGAAACGTTCTCATGTTCCCAGTTCCTTTTTTTTCTTCCTCTTCCTACAAGAAGGAGATAATTGTAATTTGCAAAGTCCGAGGCACACGTATCATTGACAAGTAATCGATATTCATGTTATTTAGGCGAGAAATGAGAAATAAATACACGAAACACACAGTATTACAAACTCGGAGCGAGCGACATGATGGCTGACAGAGGGCCGCGATTGAGTTTTACTCGGTCGTAAATAAACCAACCGTGCCTGTATTTATTCGCTGGCGAGGTCCTCGAAAGCACTCGGGCTCGTCGGATCACCCCGGGGAACGGTCCAGTTGTCACCACGTCGGGATCTCGGCAGCAGCGCTCCGGAGACAGCGGGGCGACATATTATTTTTTCACCCGTAGGAAAGATACAACGTGCACCTGCGCCTCGGATCGGGAAACTGGCTCGACGCCCGGGCGATATCCGGACGATCGGAGTCAGTTCGATCGCGACGAAGAGTCGGCGGTGAAATCCGGCGGTGCACGAATGTGGCAGACACCCACCCACCCACGCACGCATACACACACATACATACACCCTGCCTTCCTGTCTCCGCTGCTACTTCGTCGAGGCGCGCGTCCACCGACGACGACGTCGTCGTCCAGGAATCGCGGCCTCCCGAGGAAGACGCACCGGACACCTACGTACGGCACCTAGCAGCAGCAGCAGCAGCAGCAGCAGCGATCGCGGATAGAGAGAGTGGACAGCGAGCACACATGTGTTTCGTTCGGCGTGCAGCCCGCGCGTCTGTCACCGGCCTCCGGATCCCGATGGCATTCAGCGAGGACGCTAGGGCACGCGCGTCCGTCTTCCGCGTGATTCCTCGCCCGTCCGCGGGACGATTAAAAAAAAAGCGAAGGAGAACTCTTGGCCTCCTTGGCGAGTCGACAGTGGTGTCGACCCTTCTCGTGTCGACAACACTGGCGATGGCCGTCCGCGTTCCGCGCGTTCCCCTTTTCTCTTCTCCCGTTTCTCGTTCGAGAGAAACTCGATTCTCCCCCTCCCCCACGCCCCGACCGTGTTTTTCGACCTTCGAGGACCGATGCTTTTCAGAATCGATCGGATCTTGTTATTTTGTTGCTCCTCTTGTTTCGCGTCATTTCGTTTTGACAGATCTTTTTGCATTTTTTTAGGGATTTTTAGCGTGTCGGAAATGTCATGGTTTACCGCACGGATTTGTGTTCTCGATTTATGTCAAATCTCGTTCCGCTCGTTCCACAAATTCGGATTCCCGCTTCTCGACGCGAGATGAAAACTCGCGCGTGATTTGTATCGATGCGCCTTCTTCTCGGACGAGCTTTGGTCAGTTGCGCGAATGAGATGGAAAATTAATATTTCGGAAAAATTCTAGGATAACTTCGAAAGCAAAAGTTTAAAGATTAATATATTATTAAAATTAACAACGAGTTAAAACGAAGATTGATGTATTTGTATTTCTATAGTTCCACAAAGAATTATCTCTTATATCTTCTTTTTAACTTTGTTTCTAGTATCTTTTTCAGCTTATAAAAGTTATAATTAAATACAACTTTTAATTATGTTAATCAATCTCTATTAATTGCTCTACTTATATTGGAATTTCTTTCAAAGAGAATGTCTTATGTTGATTATGTTGTTTACACTCTTGATGAATATATATACACAACATCTTTTGACACATTAGAGACATATATAATTTATAATATAATTCTCGCGCATCTCTCTTTTTAACAGTTTATTATTAATATATAAACCTCCAATATTAAAAAATTCGAACTTGGAATTTTCAAGATGAAGCTCGAGAAAAACAGAAAGAGAATACAGCTTATATTAATTAACATTAATGAAATAAGAATCACAATGCAATGTATCATTCATAAAAAAACAACTCAATCATGTATACTTTATAATTTGATTACTACAAAAGGCTTAAAAGTAGAGTAAATATATTCGCTTAGTAACTTAGCTCGTAATTTTTATATATCGGATTAATGCAGGTATCTATTTTCAAATGTTCCATCCCGGTAAAGATTATTCCCACGAAGCATCAGGCCTTGACAGGGAGATTTGTGCACATCCTCGATCGGCTCGTCATCGGCGGCTCTTATTTGTATAAGGAACATACGTCGGCTCCTGTCGGATAGATTTAAGTACGAGCCGTGAAGCAGCAGGTAAGAGAAGACGATGATGTCGCCTTTTTTAGCCGGCACCGGCTCAGCTTTCGCCAAGGGATACTTCTCAGGATTGGCGTAATGGAATGTTTCAGCCCTACCCTCGTCGTGCACTCCGAAATCCTCCAAAGGTCCCAGTTTGTGGCTGCCCGGATATACCGCTAACCCACCGTTCTCCGGCGTCGTGTCGTCCAGGTGCAGGAATACGGCCAGCATGGTGTGCTTCTTGTGAGGAAAATAGTGATAGTCCTGATGCATCAAATAAGGCGCTCCCTTCTCCGGTGGTTTCACGTGCGCTTTGGTGTGATGAAGCATAATATCCTCGGTGTCCATGATATCCTCAAGGGCGTCCAATAAATTCGGATGTGTGATTGCCCGAGTAAAAACCGCATTGTGCATTTGCAGATTGTGAATAGATTTTACCTATATATAACAATTTATTTAGAATATAATTTATACTATATATATATATAATATAAGTTATAATAATATATATAATACATAATATATCATATACAATAATTATATATATTATAATATATATGATAATTTTATAACAATAATATATATATATATATATATATATATATATATATATACCATAAATTTGTTTTTAACAGTTTATGCATTTAATTTTATGATAAACGATATTTATTTCGTAGAATATAAAAATATATAACTGTTATATACACTTTATATATTTCACTTACGGTATAATCGGCACCCCCAGCTAATTTCTTCATATCGTTTCCGACCCAACTAGCTTCCAAGCCAAGTTTTTCACGCTGTTTTCTCTCGAATAATTCATTATAGGCGTCTGATATTTCATTTACTTCCTTTGTAGTATATATGTTTGTCAACTTGATGAAACCATTTTCTTTCCAGAATAGCTTCTGCTCTGACGTTAAAAACTTCAAGCTGGCCATTTGTGCGATGTAAAAGTTTAACACTTCTTATACAAGATGTAAGAATCTTCCTTTCAACGTCCAGAGTAAATCTCGCGTCTCATACCGAATATTAAATAATGCATTATCCCACTCTCTAGAGGTGGTCCTCGGTAGGGATTATCTCTGTATTATGCAGATTCATGATGATCTTAAAACTATAAATTTTTATAATCTTCATGTATGCTTTGCAAGATGTTTTATTTTATATCTTAGATTAGTATAATATAATTATGCCGAGTAATAATTAATAACAATACAACTTAAGGTAAAAATATTTAACATTATATTTTTATGTATACGATATAAAATGTCAAAGTAATTATATAAAAATTCATATTCCTTGCAAAATAAATAATTAATAACGTAATTTTTATCTTATTGTATAATATATGTATAATGATCAATAAAATGTCTAATTATTGCATAATTTTGCGATCAAATTTCTTAATTACATAAGCCAACCATGCAATAAGAGTTATCTTGTTGTGTTGATATGAATAAAAACATCGTATCAGCTCTTTCTGATAGCGCGGATAGAAATTTCCATCATGACCTCAACGTTTTTGTCAAGTCATATTCAAGTCATTGCAATGTCACTGCATGTAGCAATAAGTTTACTATTAAATGCATTAATATGTGCTTTAATACTGTTTTCATCAGACTTTCAAATTATTTATGATATTGCTATATAATAATTTTAAGTAAAAAATTATCTAACGTGTGCAAAAAAAAATTAATTCCACTATTAATTATTACATTATGAAATTATGGTCATGAACAGAATTTAAATCCCTTCACAATTTGTTTTGACTGATACCACCGATACAAAGATTCAGTAGAACTATTATATTGAGTATATTGCACATTGTCTTCAAGCTTCTTTTCTAACTGCATATACGAATCATGATATATTTGAACAAGCGATGCACAATTACACTGCACATTGACTTGATCGCTCTGGCACAGTTTGATTCTGAAGCAAGTTGCAGTTTGCACCGGTAGCTTATATTGCGGTTTAGGTAAGAAGAAGTCTGATACTGAATTGTCATCATTCTTCTTCAACATAACGAACACATTTGTCATATTTAAGGGAGTACCCATGGCTTCTTGAAACTCGCTGCACTCCAACAGGGACCTGTACGCAATCAAATCAAACAAATGTAAATTATTATCGCAATTGTTTATAATTGTATACAGTGAATAATTATTATGTTCTCTTATTCCTATTGACCTTATGAGTTTTAAAAGCGGTTTCCTCGAAGAATGTTGATACTCTTTATGCTGTCTGCTGTTGAGAATATACGAAGGGAGTTCTATCGCGATGCAGAGCTTCGAGGAAAATATCGTGGAGCCAAACAATATAGCAATTTCCTTGACGTCGCAATTCTTGAGAAAGAATTGCGAAGCTAAATGATCCGAGACGTTCTTCAGCATATTCGACAAGGTTTTGAAAGAGGCCACGTTTTTATCTGTCGCCTTCACATTAGTCTGATACTTGGCTAAGGCTTCGTAGGCGAACGGTATCTGTTGTTTTTGATACAAAATGTATTTCATGAGTTCGATCACCACTTTTGTGTACGAGTCATCGGTCAGCGGCTCGTCCAGATTTACGTTAATTTCCGTTTCGCCTTTCTGGCCTCTGGAAAACATGTTTCACGAAGAAGGAATTCAAAACGAAATATCTATATATCTTGGAATGGAAATCGTCCGCACGAGAAAAGAAAAAAAGTCATCGACACAACAGCATTCGCATGATACCCTTTTTTTAAACGGATTGAAGGTTAGTTTAGGTTCAAATTTGGAATACTAGAAAGGTTAGGTTCGATAAGTCGAAGATATAGAACCTGCTTCATGCGACGTGTTGGTTGCCATGTCTAGTTAGTTACTAAATTCAGTTTATTTACATCCGCCGTTGAAATATATGAATTTTGAAGTTTCATGGAGAACTATAAACAGAAATATGTATTGTGAGATATAAAATATCTGATAATGGATCTGAAGACCAAGCGGATGAGAGAGCTGCTGGAACCTCTGCAACAGCAGGTGATTAAAATTAATATTTCTTCATATGTTTAATAATTAATATATATTCATTAAGACTACATTATGACGTATTAATGATGTGGAAAAAATGTTCAGCATTTTCTAGATTTATTATCAAGTTAAATAATTTTGCGAAATTTTAATATTAATGCCTCGTTATTAAAAATGAGAATAAAAGCTAAAATGATTTTGTTCTTTTTAGATGAGCATACTGCATTCATTGCTAACCAACGTTTCTGTTAATTCATCAGAAATTTTGCTTACAAAATCAACAATCTTTGAGTATCTGTATTCCTTAATTCAGAGATTTACGAATTTAGCAAGTAATGATAATTGTGACAATGAAGAAGCAAAGTGTAATGATGCAGGGACAAATTCAAAATATGTTTCTCTGTTGAAGGATATTGACAGGCTTGTAAGTAGCAAAAGAATCTTAACATTTTACATTGTATTGTTTATTAAAGTTTAAATTATTTATTACTTTTTTCAGATTGAAGCTCTTAAGAGCAATGATATTAATAAAAATACGACAGAATTATTACTTAATAATTTCACATTAGCCTTGCGAGCTTTAGAGGATTTAGAATGTTTGCCGTTGAAGCAAAGGCTCCAAGATTGTCTGGATTATGTTCGAGAAATGAGCATAGCAAATGAGATTGAGGATCTTCAGAATATAAAGGTAACAATTGATGAAATAAATTCGAACTGAATTAAATTCTTTTAATATATTTTTAATATTCTTTCAATATAAAATCTTTGCTTCTTTAAAGGAACTTGGTACTTCGATATTGGAGCTATTTGAACCATTACAAAAATACAGAAGAAGTTTGGTATCTACTTTTTTGTCAGAAAAGCTAGCTTTATATTCCTCTCAACTGTGCACAACGTTTGAGATGCTAGTACAATTGGCTCAGGAGCAGCATCGATTAAATGCACCAATCTATGTAATAAATATATATATATATATATATATATATATATATATATATATATTTAATATTTGATTCTATTTAAATTGTTTCTACATGTACATTTGAAACATGTATATACAGGCTTGCAAGAAGTATATCTGTGAAAGATTGTGTACTTGTTGTGAAATGATCTTAAACTTATTGAATGGATCAAATCCGTCACTGGAAGAGGAAGCTTTCGAGAAGGACAATCATTTCGTCTATAAGTAAAAAAAATATTTTTAATACTTTGTAATTGTATTTAACTGAGTCTGATATTATGGTACACTTTGTAGAATGGATTTAGCATTAGACATTCTATTAGAAATGTCAAACAAAACGCATCAGGAGCAATTATCTGAATGTGGAGAACTATGGTCGAGGCTGGAAGATGTTTTTTCTCATGCTATGGCAATTACTCAAGTGTGCCAGCTATACAATTTTAAAGCCATAACCGGATCATGTCAGTCTATAGTATTGGAATATGAGAAATTGAAGCAGCAATTATTATCGGAAACACCAGATCCGGCATTAAATAACTTATTTATGCACACTTTGACCGATTCTCTTTATCGTTTAGAACGTAAAGTCAATATAGCAGTATTAACACTCGCGATGGAAGTATTCAGCAATCCTTATGCGGCTTTGAGAAAGCTCGTTATGACGTGCGGAAATTCATTAAGCGCAAAAACAAGATCTATGAATGATCTGAAAAATCTTATAGAAGATTTTGATCAACTTTTTGACCAAACTGTGCAAATAGGAATATTTGCTATCGCGTGTTGCAAGGACATGAATCGTCAGTCATTTTTCTTTATCAAATAAAATCTTTAAATTACTACAATTATTTTAGTATAAATTTATTGATTTCAGGTAATAATAAAATTCGTAATTGCCTCGCCGGATTCGAATCCTTAGAGACGGAATTGATTTCTGCAATAACTTCCTTCTACTTACATCCAGATAATAAAGAAATGCGTTCCAACGTCAAACTGTTGACTTACCAGTGGCAACGAGAGATGACCAAGTTTCAAAATGTTGTAAACCTCATTATAAATTCAGCTGCCTTTTGCGAAGTAAATATCCAATTTATTATGAAGAATTATATTTTTAGAGAACTTGAATATAATACTTGAATATATTCTTTCTCAGATAGTCATGGACAGTCTTCAAGAACGTATAACAGCAATCTCGGATTGTTTAGATAATAGACAGCCGGTAACGCAATCTCAGGTGCAAGGTATTGTTCAACGTGCTTCAGCTTTATCTAGCCAAGTGACAACGATTGTAAATGACATTGGGACTGAAAATATTGATCGTCATACAATAATGATGACAAGGGAATTGAAAGCAGGTAATTACGATACGTTACATTATTTTTTAGACTCTCATAATTTGGCCAGATATGTACAGCGATATAGACGTACACATTTCTTTATTATAGCTATATTTGAGGCCAATAAAGCTGCCAAGACTCTCCTGATTGAAAATGCAACAGAGCCTCAGCAATTGCGGGTGATAAAACGGTGTGAATTAATATTGAATGTTGTTCAAAGATTACAGCCTGCTCTAACTATGATCATGAATAGTACATTACATGAAAAATCTGTAAGAACTCAAGGAGATTCCAGCCATGGTATGATAAATAATTTTGTTCAAATAACGTTTTGTAGTAAACAAACACTTTACTTATATAAATCTACTATTAAAAATAATTTTTATATTGCAGGTATTATTTCAAAAACTATCAATTTCCCATCTACAATTTATGGTTTACCACGCGATGAAAATTGTATAGCTTATATTAGAACACCCTATACAGGTTTGTGAGAACTTACAAATATTTTATATACATATGTTCTGTATATTTTGTTTAGTTAATATCAACATAAAGATTATATATCAAGTTTTATTTATGTTTTAGTAAAAGCGCATAAATCACAAGTGTCTATTCAACCAGCAAATAGCGTCGGAATGCAAAAACCATCAGATTTGTCACATTTGATACCTTATATAAAAAGCGGTCGTACTTTGCGCAGCGAGCATTCCATTATGTATAACACGCTGCATAAAAATAAAAATGTAACAGAACCAGTTGTCAAAAGCGACGTATCTCTTAGGAATCTGTCTAGTGTTAGACAACATCTTTTTAGTAGAGATAGTTTTAAAGTTCAAACTTTAAACATTGATATATCTGAAGAGAGCATGGATTTAACAGGTACTGTGTACTTGAAGAAATTTATATTGATTGGAATTATGATTACATTAGAAATTATTTTCAGCTATCTTAGAGAAGATGACTTTGTCGTTTACATCAAAACATGCAACGTTTACATCTTGCAAATCCTTAAAAGTACAGAATGTATCTTCTGAAAGTGCAAATAAAGAAGAAGTCATTTCTAATACCACCGGAGAAAAATTATCTGGAATTATTAAAGAAGAAGCAAAAAAAGGTCCAAATAAATGTACAATAACGGAGAAGGTGGGTGATTCTACTATATCTGGTGGTGGTGATGCATCTGTAATCATGGAAACCTGTCAAAAGCTTAACAGTGTTCAACTTTCAAGCAATAAGATTGAAAAATCAACATCAGAAAAACACGAGATTTAAAAAGAGGAAATTATTTCATACATGAATCTCTATTATTAAATAAACATTTAGTGTATAATTGTTATCAATTATAAAAAACAGTATTTAAAGGTTGCAGTTATATGTAATTAAAATATGATAAATATTGATACATGTATTAAATATAATAAAGTGAATGTTATATAATATCAATTTTACATTCCAGTATATGATAAATCTAATAAAATTAAAATTTGAATTGTATAAATGTTGAATTTTATTCAAAATGTGAAATTTTATGTGAAAATTTAAGTGTGTTTGAAACAATAAAAGATAAAAATGTTTATATTCTAATCCCTTATTCAAATCAGGAGACATGATAGTCTAGCATTGGACATTAATTATAATCAAATGTACAGTCGAACAAGTAAACAATTTAGAAATAATTTTTATTTTGTTAAACTTTTTTAACTAAAAATGTTTATAAAAGATTGTATATGATTGTATATAATTGAATGATTATTTAAATTAGTTTCAACATTACGATAAATATATACATATTATTTAATTAAAATAATCATGCAATTATTAAATATATAAATTTAAAAAATTTAATAAAATAATTTTTTTAAATCACTACTGTGATTTCTCATTCTATAAAACGATTCAAAGCATCCGCAATGTCAAGTGGAATGCATCTTACGTGTCGTAAATTACAAACGGAATAATAGAAACTATTACAAGATTATTAAAATTTGTTCCGCGTTTTTTTTTTCCAGAAAATCTTAAAAATAGACATTTCTTTTATTAAAAATGCAACAAATTATTTAAAAAATTCAGCTATACGAGAAAACTAGAAACATTTTTCTTGCACTTCCCGACAATCTCCTCCGCCCCCCTGCAAATCTATCACGTTCAATGAAATTCGCTTGGAAGAACGAACATGAAGAGCCAAAGAGTGAACAAGAGATCTTGAAGAAAAATATAGGAAGATGTAGAAAAAAAATTATAGAATATTCTGCATATGTGCGGCATAAATTATTAGTGACAGGTGAGACAAGGTGAACGGACTAAAAAGAGAGGGAGAGAGAGAGAGAGAGAGAGAGACAGAGACGTCCCAGGCAGTCCAATTCGCAAGTTGCTCCGAGTTGTTCCAAGTCAGTCCACCAAACAAAACATGGACGCCGTGGAAATAAATACGTCGGGTCCGCCGCAGAGCGAGGACGCGATCGGGTCCGCGATGAAAATATGCCGCGTGTGCCTGCTGGACAACCTGATGATGCGCGACCTCTTCGCCGAGAGCGAGGTCGCGTCCCTCTCCATGAAAGCGATGAGCTTCACCAACGTTAAGGTTAGCTATAGACTTTTCGAGGTTAGACACCGACGCAAATTTCGATATTATTGTCACTTTTCCCCTGGAATCTCCTACCAATCTTCGATCGGCCGGGATTCCACCTCCTCGTTATCCTCTTCACCGAGCGCAAGTCGTATCTTGTCAAAGAGTGCATAACCTTGCATCTTGTGCATACTTAATTGGTGTAATTTGATTTTTTTTTTCTACACGTAAATAGCTTTTTAAAGTGTACCTACAGTGACCATCCGTCCTTTATTTAGAAGATAATCCTTTATTTCAAGTAGCTACCTTTAGATTTAATCATTTTTCCAAAAATTTAATTTTATCCTTTATTTAAAAAATTGTGTCCTTTATTTTTTTATTTTGCGTTTCACTGTCTAATATTGTAGTTTTAATGTGAAAATTTATATAAAAACAACGGTACGTCTTATCCGGCACCTATTTAAGAAACCAAGAGTTTGTTTCAACATAATCGAATCAGTTTTAAGCTAGAAGAATAAGAACATAGACTTCTGATAGTCAGAGAATTATTTTTTTTGCTCGCAAACTGATTTGGAAACATATTGAAGCAGTCCTAAAATTTTCAAATTTGTCTTTTATTTTCTCTTAAAAAATATACGTCATCATAAGTATACTAAATAATGTATATTCATCAGATGTTACCAGGTGACGGTTTACCAGCACAAGTGTGCTGCATGTGCGCCGACAAACTGGAGTCGGCGTATGAATTTAAATTACAAGTGGAACAGGCCGACAGCGTCCTCAGGGACAGGTATGTCGGGGGAATGATAAAGGAGGAGTTGTTCCTCAATGAGGTCGAGATACACTTGGACACCGAAAGGAATGACATAGAGGAAATAAATGTCAACACTGATTATGAATCTACTGTCGCAGTTTTGCCAGAAGAGTCAGACGTTGAGAAGAACTTTTTGAAAGAACAATTTATGATCTTGGAACACGAAAAATTGACTAATCCGGAAGAAATACAACAGGGTGAGTAAAATATGATTGATAATCAATCAATGATATTTTAAAGAAATTCAAAAAGAATGTATATTGTTTTAATAATGAGAATAATTTATAGCTTGTCGAATTTTCTTGTAATATATTGAATTTGTTTAGATCCAGAACAGGATCATTCGCAAGAAATTACGCAAGAAGATGGTCAAAGTATTGCAGAAGATTCGCAGCAAGAATTAGTTGAAACAGAGGATAATGATATGTCAAGCACTATTAAAGAATCTAGGAATCAAAAATTTTGCATGAACGAAAGTATCACTTCCAGTTATATGGAGTCGATTCCAACAGAGGAACACGATTACATTGTGCAGCAACAGTGTGTGTTGCCGACTGAACAATTTCCTTTACAGGAAAGGATACAGATGGATACACAAGTTGAACAAAGTATAGCAGAATGCCAAGAAACATTATCTGAATTAAATCAAGAGAATCAAGTTGAGCAAATTCAAGAAAATCAAGCTGAACAGATTCAAGAAGATCAGACTGAACAAATTCAAGAGAATCAAATGGAGCAAATTGAAGAGACTCAAGTGGAGCAAATTCAAGAGACTCAAATGGAGCAAATTCAAGAGATTCAAATGGAGCAAATTCAAGAGACTCAAATGGAACAAATTCTAGAGACTCAAGCAGAGCAAATTCAAGAGAATCAATCTGAGCAAAATCAAACTGAAAGAACTGACAAGAAGAAATCTTTCAATGAAGAAATGTCTACAACTGATAATGAGCCGATGGTGGGAATACAAGATACTCCTCAAAATGAAACCAGAAGAAGTAAACGTAGATTAGCTCGTCGAACGTTTGCTGAACGGGATTCCGACGAGGAGAATTATTTCGAAAATCTGAATCTTAGTTCTCGATTGAAAAAAGCACAAGCGGATAAGGTAGAGAAGATCTTTTTTATGTGTTATCTGTGTGATAAACAGTTCCTGTCGAAGAACGTTCTGAAGGAGCACATGCACTCTCATGAAGAAGTGAGGAAAGCACTCTCCTTAAAGAAAACGCCGGAGAAGCCGCAGAAGTCGCAGACCAACGTTACCCCCACGAAGAGTCCACCATCTGGAAAAAAAGCCAACAAGTGCCCTTATTGCGGTAAAGAGTATCTGTACATAAACTCGTTTACCAAACATATTAAACAGCACGAGCGGGAGCGAGAGGAGGCGAAGGAGGATCCTATGCCGCTCGAAATTTCGTTCCACGAAGATGAGCATAGTCTAGACTTCGAGGATAATAATTATGATAACAATTCGGACAGAGAATGTAGAAGACGATCGAAGAGAGCAAATACAGGCGATGGAAACGATGACGCCACGACGAGCGACAATGAGCAGGATAAAAGAAGAAAGCGCAGTCGCGTTGAAGAATTCGAATGCGACAAATGTTCAGAGAAATTTGATACGAAGCGAAGCTTGCAAAAGCACTCACTCACGCACGTGAGCGGGTTTTGCAAGCTTCGCTTCGAGTGCACCCTGTGTCACGAAGAGTACGACAGTCTAGAGCAGTTGAGGGATCATCGAACGAAACATGTGGTCGAAGGCGTGCTCACTGAGCAGGATTTAGAAGACATGAAACAGATAGTCAAGAACGTCGAGAATGACGATGACGAAGATAACAAGAACGATGAAGAAGGAGAGGGCAATGAATCTGGCGAATTGGTCGAACAAAATGCGAAGGAATTCAAGTGTCAGAAGTGTTCGATGGCGTTCGCGCGAAAGAAGTTCCTGTCGAGACACATGGAAACGATGCATTCTGGAACTAACAATTTCGAATGCAAGATATGTCATCAGCAGTTCGCGCGGAAGGATCTTTTGCGCAGACATGCCGAGCAACACGCCCGAGTAAAGACCTACAAGTGCACTCAGTGCAACAAGACCTTCGGTAATGAACTCACTCTGAGAAATCACCTGCTCACCACGAATCACAAGACGTTTATACACGGACAAGAATACGACCCGAACAAGCGTATAAAGCGCGTAGCCGCGAAAGCGGCGCAGAAGATCATCGACAAGATCAAGACAGAGGACGGTCTGGAGGATTACGACGACGATAACGACACCGTTGATTACGACGCCAAGTTGGACGGGCCTTATTATCGTCGTAAACGCGACGCTACACCAAAGAAGTACAATTGTAAGAAGGATTTAGAGTGCGCGACGTGTAATAAGAGATATAGTTCGAAGCAAGCGTTGACCAAGCACATGGAGCAGCACGTGAAGGACGAGAAAGCGGCGGAGAAGTTGAAGAAGGCCGCTTCGGAGAAGAAGGAAACGCCGAAGGCAACGACGACGACGACGACGATAGGCGATAACGACGACGACGACGATGACTCGGACTTTGAGAGCGGTCTCGATTGGCCGATGGACAGTCACGAATGCACCACGTGCAAGAAACGTTACAGCACGAAGAAGTCGCTGCTGCGGCACCAGCTGCTGCACGAAGAACCGAACTTTGAGTGCGACATTTGCAACATCAAGTTTTATCGCAAGGACAAGTTGAAGGCGCACTATGACAAGTGCTCCGAGAAGAATCCCGATCAGGTAAGAAGGTGCAATATTTGCGGCGACACTTTCGAGAACAATGAGATTCTGCGAGAACACCGGGCTAAACACGTTACCGAGGGTATTCTAACGGAGGAAGATTTGAAGGACATCGAGTTGAAACCGGATGAGAAGAAATCGAACGAGAAGATCGGCCGGAAGAGGAGAACCGATATCGTCGGCCTCGAATGTACAGAGTGCAACAAACAATACACTTCCAGGAAGGGTCTTCTACGACATATTCAGGTACATGAAGGTAAAAAATACTTGTGCGACATATGTCCGAAGAAGTTCTATCGTCGGGAACATCTCAAGATTCACGTGGCCAAGCATAATATGGTAAAACCGTACAAGTGTACCCGCTGCACCAAACGCTTCATCAAGGAGGAGCAGCTGAACAATCATTTGTCCAAGCACGATCGTACCTTCAAGAAGAACAAGGAGACCGATAGCTCCAAGAGATTCCTCTGCGAGATCTGCAGCAAGAGCTTCACGCAGTCGACGACGCTGATAGCCCATTTGCGGGCGCACAATGGTATCAAGCCGTACGTGTGCGAGGTCTGCTCGAGACCGTTCACCACCAACGCCTACCTAAAGATGCATATGCGCACGCACACCCAGGAACGGCCGTACATCTGTCAGTTCTGCTCGCGGGCGTTCGCGCGAGCCGACACTCTGGCGAATCATCTGACGTCTCACACCGGCGAGGCCAAGTATCACTGCAAATGCTGCCCGAAGAACTTCCGGCGACTGAAGTCGCTGAAAGAGCACATGTTTATTCACACGGGCCAGCGACCTTACGAATGCCCGACCTGCGATCGCAAGTTCAACAACAACGGCAGCCGCTATGCACACAGCAAGCGCTGCAAGCAGAACCTCCTGCGGAATCAGACCCGGACGCAATATCTAATACAGCAGCCGGAGCAAACGCAGCAGCAACAGCAACCCCAGCAACAGCAACCCCAGCAAGTGCAGATACAGGTGCAGCAACAGCCGCAGCAGATGCCGGTACCGGTCAGGCTACATCAGACCACCCTCGGCCAGGCACCGGTAGTCAAGGCCCAGAGCATCAAGACAATCGCTATAGCGAGGCAGGAACCGACCACGGTAACTATCCCGGCGCAGCCAGCCATGATGCAGCAGGAAATCCTGATGCCTCTCATTTTGCCGCTCACCGTCACTCTCACCGACGTGGGCGAGGAGGTGATACTACCAGAGGGTACAAAGATATACACCACTTCCTAATCGAGCCATCGTCTTCTACCCTCGATTAATATATAAGAAAAAAAGACATACATTTTTTTCGAGATGAACAAACTGATCCTTCCGTTTTCATTCCCCGCATTTTTTTTCAACGCGCACGGGAAAATCGGAAGGGATGATGGACGACGAAACGATGTTGCATAGATAGATCGTGTATTATGATGAGAATTTGCTTGCATTCAATAAGAGGGGATATGCGTGTGTACTAGATGTGTACTGTTAATATGATGATAATAATGACTATGATAATTAATACGATGAGAATTTTCGAGAGAGATAGAGAGGGAGGGAGAATCATTTTTCTCGAATTATGTATAAAACGTTATATCGAAGTTTATTTTTGCAACGGGTGAAGGCGTTAATAAAGTATATATATATATATATATATATATATATATATATATATATATATGTATATGTATGTATATGTAATTTATCTAGAAAGTTCCAAGATATGTACCTTTCCATATATAATAACGCGTATTATCAGAAATGAATAGAGTAAACGTATTTGACAAATCATTACGGAACAAGATCTTTGTCATAAATGTACATGTAATATAGATAGATTTTCTTTTAAGAGACACACATTAGAGATAAGAAAGTACAAGCTTTTACGGCTACTTAAAGCTTAATGTATTAAATAATGATATCTACTTTTTCAGTTAGTTTGTTCTTCCAGAATGTGTTTCTTCTTTTTTTTTCGAATAAAAAATTCATATCCAATAGTTTGTTTGAAAACACAAGAACAGTTATATATAAATCTAATAATGTGTTTTGTGATATTCTATATTTCTTCTAAAAAATATAGAACATTTTTTTAAATATGAATGACAAAACATATTATGTTTCATAAAATAACATACTTTTATGTAACATACATTATATAAAATAATATACTTTTATGTAACATACGTTACATAATTTTTATATATATATTATTATTATATAATTATACATATTATATATTACTTTTAAAAATCTTTGTAAAACTTTCTTTTTCAAACTGGCTTTATTGTACTTGCTATCTTTTTTTCATCAATGCTGTTTCATCAGGGTACATGTAGTATTAGTTGTATGAAAAAAAGTATCTTAAGCAATTTTATAACACCATCTCTTATATAAAACCAATTTGCATGAAACTTTTATCCTAATAAAATATTTCTTATATGCCAAGTACTCAGTGTCTTATAAATTTTATATATCGCTGAATTCAATAATTTTTTTCCATTAAGATATATAATACTTGAATGTCTTTAGAAGGATGTTCTCGCAAAAGTATACAAAAATCCTAGAAATTATAAATTTGGCAATAAATATGTTTCATGCGCAATGTGCTCTTAATGGCATGCTCTTACATATAATAATAATTCGTGTCTGCGTAAAAGTTGTAAAATTAATATGCGATTAAACGTAATATTGCGTGTATAAATACATTATATAAACGTTGTTATAATTAATATGTATGTGAGATATCATTTCTTATTAAGATTTTGTTGCATGAATAAAGTATTTGTTCTAATCTTACATTGTGGTTTATGATATCAGAGTTACTAAACACTTATTGTATTAACTTTTATTGTACATATATATATACATATATATATATATATATATATATCGGTTCGAGCTGATGAAATTATTTGTAATTTTACAATGCATTATAACCCAAAGAATAATAAATTATAAAACCTCGTTTAAACACGATCCTTTTTCGACTTTTTTATATCAAATATGTTTGATGATTAATCGAGTATAGCAATGAAAAAAACATTAAAAAATTTATATACGATTAAAGTGTAATCATATCTGCAAATTTACAAAATTATAATTTAATTAAGATTATACTCATTTTTATTTTGATATAAAAAATATATTTTTATTACTTAACCATTGACAAAATTATTAATCTTGATTATTTTTCTACAAAGAAGTGAAACATGACAAATAATTGGAGAGTTTATAATCAAGGATCAAAATTTATTTACATGTGGTCATGTATATGAAATAAAAATATTCAAACAATTGTTTTCTTTTGGGTATAAATGTTTCAGATTTATTTTATTAATTGTTAAACCGACATAATATACATAGAAAAAATATAAAATATTACAGTCATCAAAATGTTATACAAGTCAAATAAATGCCCTAATGATACACAATATCTTTTTATGATAATCAATATCCTTTTACCTTTCTTTTTTGCAATTTTATTACACAGCAAATAAAAAAAATTGCTTAATCTCAACCATCTATCACCCATAGAATATTAATTCCAGATGATCCTGCATTAACTCGTCCCAACATGCCGTGATCTCGTGTTTTAACTATGTATAAGAAGAGTAAAAGCGTGTGGAACAAATTATTGCGTCCCTAAAAATATAACACGTTGATTAGTGATGAAAATATATAGCCACATGATAGTTTTTTTTAGTTACCCGTTGTAATTCTTCGTAATCGCTCGGGAGAGAGTCGCCGGACAATGCCAAACTATAGTGCGGCGGATTCGCGGATTGGCAAACTATTATCGGGCCCTTATTTCGCGGTAGCTCCATGCCAGATCTGGCCATATATCTCGACGTAAACGGTCTAGCATCCGGCTGATCCAAGGGCGCCTCTAATTGCGTGTCCATATAAGTCGAAATTAAGTGCATTATTATCTGCAGGAAATATATGAATGTTATCATAAAAAAATTAATGACATTTTTGGAAATATATTTAAGCTGAAGAAAATTTATAATATAATCTATATACCGCGGAATCGGTTGGCAAACTGGAATCCCATTCCTTGCCATTGTGAGATCCGCCACTGTTCCATTTAAATTCGCTCATGGAGCCTCCCTTCGCGAGTATTTTTATTCGTTTTACGAGATACTCCTGATTGTTAGAAAGTTCCAAAAAAGGAACCAATGTGGGCAGTGTAGGAATCGCGGAAACGAGAAATGGTGCTTGCGCGAGTTTTCTAAGTCTATCAAGCCCCACGTGGCCCGGCTGCGAATCGCTCAAACCATGACGTACCAATGCTGTGCATATATTGTCTATCTCCAAAGCCACACGTTCGACAACTGTTTTGCTAATCCACTAAAATGTTTTATATAATTTTATTAATTTCATATATTATTAATATACATATATAATACATATCAAAGTATTCAATCATGCATAATTCTTACTCTTTATACTGTGTACTTTGACTTATTTATAATGCTTACCATGCGAAGGTTGGCAGTCCATTCATTAACTTTATTTAAATCAATTCTGTATTTTCTCCACACATCCAATGCTCCAAATGTGCCTCTTGGAGAACTTCCTTCTTCAGTACCAGGACTAGCTGCTTTTGTTTTATCTGAATAATAGTATAAATATTATACTAAAATAATCGTGCGTAAAGAAGATGAAATAAGAATATTTAATAAAAGATGAATTTTCAATTTTTACCAATAGTAGGTGCAAGCTGATAAGCGCATCTTCTTAATAGTGGTGATACTTCACCAGGTGTTCGAGTGGCAGGATGAGACCAGAAGGAACTCAAGAGATTGGAAGGTTGATCAACCTTTGTGGATAATACAGACTTTCTTTGCTGTTCAATTTCTTTGAGATAACTCTCTAATTCGTCTTCATCTTGAATAAGATCCTCGTTTGTTAAGCTACTGTTTGAAGAAATGTTTGAGGATTTAAACAATCCATTAGAGCATATAGCTGATTTGGGAGAGGAAGGACTAGAATATTTAAGAAACGACGAACAATCCTCTGGAAAAAGAGAAAGATAAATATAAAAAATTTGTTTTATATGTTAAAATATAAGAAACGATAAGAGATTGAAAAATACTTTGCATACTAATTTCGCTCAGAACTGAAGATCCAAGAGGCGTTGTGCGTCTACTAAGATTTATGCAGGACAAATTCAACGAGGGGCTTGGCTCTGGAGTTTTCTGCTTCTGAGGCACTTCGGTCTTGAACAGAGGATCATCCTCTGTGACTCCTAAGAGTGGCCTTTGTTTGGAACTGAGTGAGATTGGCTTCAAGCTTAAGGTAGCCCATATATATCGTATAATATGATAGAAAGCATTTAGAGCAAATATCGATGCTAAACACCACTCGATCCAGTAAACTGGCTTATAGGCAGGTCCACCGTATACTCTGAAAACAAAATCAAAGTGTCATCAGCATTACTGCCATTTCATATCGTTCAAGAGAAACAAAGAGTCTTACATATCAAATACTACAATACTAAACAATACGCCATTGATGAAGAACCATGTGATACTGTTACGAGCTTTGGTTTGCGTTTGTCTTAAATCCAGTAGCTGCTCTACTTGTGGCTTGGGTGTTAAAACTCTGTAAACATAATATTTATTCGCAATTTTAACAAGTATTTCATACAAAAAACCGCACGTGAACACGTTCTAACCTAAATCAATAATATATCTAAAATTTTCACCTTGCGTTCGGAGATATACACTTCATAGGAGAGTGAAAATTACTCATTTTAGAAAAGTCTGCGCCACATTAATGTCAAACAATTACTATCACCGCGTTCTGTGCATTTCAAGAGAAGTACTATTATTTTTCCGCGTTTCATGAAACGCTTGTCTTCCTACATTTTTTTAAATCTATTGCCAACGGTATAATTTTCCATTTTAATATCGATATTAGCGTATCGATATATATCTCGAACATTGATCGGTCGAATAGAGAGTTTTTTATATATCGATAAAAATTCCTAGATGTAGACTTTTCGTGTTTATTTTCCACTCCATACAATCCTCCAATCAAATCGAATTTCGTGTAATAATAATAATGCTCCAATTTGACGTATTGTTTCGTCTGACATATGTATTGTCATCATCCGAGAGAACATAAATTTCGCATAATAAACGTACATATCACGAAAATTGACAAGTGAAAAAGAAATTTATCGTTAGTATCTATATCGAAAAACTACTTGTCAACGAGCGTGTCAGCTGTCACTTCAAATATGGTTTATGTGACAGGAGGTAATTATGCTCTAATCAATAAATTAATTTGTTATTAAAAATACGTCAAGTAGCTTTTTTAAGTTAGAGAAAGAAAGAGGCATTCTCTAATTAAAAAAAAGGAAGTTTACGAGGAATTGAATCCTTGCATCCTATGTATATATCCTACATTATACATATTAATTTGTTTTCTCCTTTTTATAGATGGAAATCTTGTAAATTCTGTTCCATGGGGATTAAGGAGAGTTTTTGGGTTCTTCACAGGAATAATTTACATGATCATGATGTTGTTAGTATTCAATAATTGCTCTATGTAATAATGACTTACTATAATTTTGATTCACTAATTACGTGTTTGCATTTCTTCTTTACTCTTTTAACACATAGTATAATATATTGTAAATAGTTTTCAGACTTTAATCAGTCCTGGCACAAATAGAGGGGAAGGTCAATATACAAGAGATTATCGACCAGGTTCTGGGTAGAGTATTTTTTTCTAAACAGCATCTATGTCAAATGATAAATATGTGAGATAATAATTTCTGCAATTTTTTATGTAGGCCACGTCCTCCACCACGCAGGCTTGGTAGACCAAATACAGGAAATAATGTCGACGTTCCATTTTTTGGAGGATGTAGTAGTTGCACAAGATAAAATTATATATATTTTTAAAAATTTATTTCCAATATATTTAAGTAAAGAAATTTGAAGTAACTGGCATTGACATTGATATAATTGAAAAGTTGATATGCAATTGTATTTATGTCAGTTTGTCTAGTGTTTTTTGTTATGGAATAGTACAAAATTTTATCTATTATATCAAATATTTTTGCAATAATTATCTCGTAATATGAATATTTTTTTGTTAATTTTATAAAATATGAAGTCTCTTTTATATGCATACATATGTTAGTTTCAACATCATATTTGTCGTACAATAAGTTTGTCAGATTGATTATCGAATATAAAATTTCGAAAGATTCTTATAACAGCTAATCAATACATTCAATAAAACTTGTCAAACAATAAAAAAATAATAAAATATAAAATAACTAAGACTATTTCTTTAAATATATATTTAACATTACAAGCTATTTAATCATTAATTAAGATAATGCAAACTATAATTGATACATTCATTAATGAAAATAATGCAATCATACCTTTATTAGACATATTAAATTAATTTTACATTCAATATATATATTACAAACAATTACAAATATATTACACAATATGTATTAATGCAGAACAAAGTCTTTAATCAGTAAAGTCTTCTGTATTATTGTAAATAAAATAAAACAACCTATCGAGTTTGTATTCGCCAGCTTGTGTGTGATGTACAAATACAATAATAATATACATTATGTAGTAGATCTAAGTGATGTGGAAAAACTGCATTATTATTATTATTATTGAGACTCCATTTTCGTGCAATTTTAGATTTACAAAATCTTTGTAATCAAACCAGCTGCAATGGTGGTACCTTCTAATCGTAACATTACTCTGCCTAGTTGCTTAATATCCTTGTACAACTCCATGCAGACTGGATTTTGTGTTGTAACCTCGATGATCGCGCTAGAATTCTTTGGTAAGCAACGTGGCTTCTTCTTGATCACGTCGCCGGTACCTCGATGAAGCTGCGCTATTAATTTCGTAATGAACGCTGGTTGTACCAAAGACTGCTGGTGCATCACCACTGGAAGCCCTTTCGTGATTGGTCTCGCTATCGCAAATACAACTACGTGCGCTTGGAAGCACGTCGTTACGGACACTGGATTCTGCGGATTGCAGATAATGTCGCCGATGCCTACGTTTTGCTGATCGATTCCCGATAATGTCAGCGCGACTTGATCACCGGCGAATGCGTGTGTCGTCGAAATTTCGTCCGACTGGAGACCTATATTTAAATATGTGAAAAATTATACAAATATATATTATATAATTTTTTATAATTTGAGCATTATAAAATTCAATTTTCAAAACTTATTAACCTTTAACAACCGCAATCTCGTTTTGAGGTAGTATCAACACCTTGTCACCTAAAGACACCATACCCGTTTCAACGTGACCAGATACACAGAATCCGGATCCGGTACCCTTAAATATATCGTTGACCGAGAAACGGAATGGCTTATTTACAGGTCGCTCCGGGCACTTGAAATTATCAATCACATTGATTAAAGTAGGCCCAGTGTACCTGCAAAGAATTTACTTTGGTGAGAGATAGATAAAAATATGCATACATGTCGGAATATCAAACGAGAACTAATAATTACCAGTTAGAGAGCTGCTCCTTTGGTTTCGTTACAATATTTTCGCCTGATAAGCCGCTACAAGGTACAAAAGTAACTGTGTCTTTAAAGCCAGCTTGTTTCAGGAACACGCTCATTTTGTCGACTATCTCGTTGAATCTATCCTTCGACCAATTTACAGTATCAAGTTTGTTTACGACTACTGCCAGTTGCGATACTCCTGAATATTCGAGATATGACGTAATTTAGAAATAAAATTCATGTTAAATATATCAATATATTCTTACATATAAACAATAGATTAAAGAGAACTGTTAAGATGAATCACCTAAAGAACGAAGTAACAATGCATGCTCGCGTGTTTGTCCCCCACTGTCGAAACCCGTTTCGAATTCGCCTCTGGTCGCATCAACCACCAACAAAGCTACGTCCGCTTGCGTAGCACCGGTTATCATATTGGGAATAAAATCCTTGTGGCCAGGTGCATCTAGGAGAGTGATGGACTTGGTATCTGTTTCAAACTTCGAGTGACCTATGTCCATCGTTATTCCTCGCTCCCTATTAAAGATGTATAAAAATAATTATATAATTCTCTGCTAATAATTTTGTAAAATAGATGTAATCACCTTTCTTCACCGGTTTCGTCGAGCACCCAAGCATAGACGAACGACTGCTTGCCTATCTTCTTGCTCTCTTGCTGGTACTTGTGAATAAGTCTCTGAGGCACTTGACCTAAATCGCATAATAGTCGTCCGAGTAACGTGCTCTTTCCAGCATCCACGTGTCCCACGACCACCAGGTGAAGCTGCTCCTTGCTGTCGCCTCTCTTACTCTTGTATATCGCTTGGACATCCGCTTTCTCCTCGTTGGCCGCGTTGGATTTTCCCTTGGGATCCAATTCCGGTGTTACGTGACCTGATATAGGTGACTGGCATCTCGGACTGTTAGTTTTCGACGAGGCTGTTTTCTTCTCCCTTTGTACGATATCCTCCTTACGTTTGGCCTCGGGACTGTTGCGGTTGGAAGACGGACTCTCGCAGCGTGGACTCAGCAAATCTGCGCTTTCTACACCGCTTAGATCGAAACCCTTTACAACGGGTTTCGTTCCGGCGGGAACAACCTTCACGGTGGAAGGCGTTGTAACTTGCAAGGCAGGCTTAGACGATAATTTGTTACCTATTACGAAATGTATTCTCAGCTATGGTGGTAGGATAATTATATGAAAAGTAAGATAAAAATAAATTCTTAAGTGATTCATAGATGTGGTGCATATATATGTATATATATTCTTAACTTATATAATTATAATTATACAGAAATTGTTTGTATAAATATAAATATATCTCGTACTGTATATGTATCTGTATATGTATAATCATAGTAATGTTACATAAATATAAGTGCTGATTTTTTATTTGCAATGGGGCATATCAAATAATGCAAATGTATATTGTACAATACATATACATATATAAATATATACAAATAATATATTATATATATATATATATATATATATATATATAATATATATATATATATATATATATATATATATATAAATATATATATAATATATATAAATATGTATAATATATATAAATATATATAAATATATACATATACATACATATATAAATATATATATATATATTATTGCAATAATAGGATATCTGATTGAATACCTTTGCTTATAATATTTCATTAGTAAAACCTAAAATTATAATTGAAATTATAATTATAAAAAGCTGAGGCTAAAAATATACATATGGTCTTCAAAAAGTATTTGTTTCACTCATCTCTGATTTCAAATATAATTAATCTATCAAGATCGATTTGTATTTTGATACGGAGTAGAAAAGTCAAAAGGTTTAACTGTGTCGTAGCGTTGTACAACATCTTTAAGTACCGGTTTTCTCGTCTTCCATTTTCTACACAAAGTTCTTCCAAAGAATGAAACGTTCTTTTTTGTATATGGAAATTTAGTGTGTCTCAAGTCGCATGAATTTAAAGTGATAGGTAGCATATTCGAGATTATGCTATTTTTATTATCTTCGAGACACATTTCTAAATTAGGTATATCGTAAAAAAATTTTCTCGGAACGGTTAAATTATTAGAAATACAGTCGGTCAAATTTTCCGCTTCCTTTAAAGCGATACTCAAATCAATCATCCAATTGTCAGGCGACGCAGTGCGAGTTTCATTTATATCTACATTGATTGAATCTTTAAATTGTTCTTTGGATTTTACGTTTGTCGCATTATGATTTTTTACAATACACATGCCCGAAAAATCTTTGTCAAGTAAATCAATTGGATGTTTGTGATTTGTATGTATTGGCGGTATTTTACTATTATTAGGGAGATTCAACGATTGTATATTGCCCACATTCGCGTTGTCATTTTTTTTAATTGAGAATTTTGGGATAACAAACTGCGAATTCTGTAATCGTTCCCTTTCGCAAATTTCCACATTAGCTACGTTACTAGATTTTTCTAAATGATGTGCAGTTAAAGCATCTAAAGAATTAAAAAACTGTGCATCCGTATTATTCTGCAAAGATATCTTTGTCGTATCTGAATGTACGGATTCTGTATGATGGGAAATAAGTCCAGCTAATGATGAAAAAGTTTTGAGAGGACGTTTTACGTCATTTAAACTGTCTATGTTGTTTGGATGACAATATATGGTCGAAGTAGGACCTTTCAGTGAATTATCTTTTTTCTCAAAAGAAAGTTTGGGTATTGTAAACATAGATGTGTTAGGCTTATCAACTGAAACACCTTACCTTACCGATCAAGTTCCATACACACACGAAACATGAAAAAAAAGTAAAAACATGAGGTCATTAAATTGTTTCAAATATTTACAGTTTATTTTGAAATAATGCCAAGTCATGCAAAATATATAATCTTACGCAACATTTTACCTTGATATCTCTCCAATCGCTCCTTACTTATTGTTGCATCTGTAAATACATTTCAAGTACATATATCATCAATTTAAATCAATTGTAATATTCATGATATAATAAGCGTACCGTTTTTTGGTGAAGATTCCTTTAAAATAGCATCGAGCGCTACATCTGTATTAAAGTTTGATGCAATAATTTTTTCTTTCAATTTAGATTCAGATACCGTATCACCTATGACATTTCTGATTGCTTCTAAACAAGATATTAGCTTTGCCTTTTCCAACTCTGGAAGATTATATTTGTCTTCATTGAGTGATGACGAAGATTCATCAATGTCCTCATTATCTTCCACTATATCTGGTTCCGTGATAAATGAAGCAATATTTTGCTGTTTGCTTCGATCAAACAAAAACTGCTCCACTATATATCAAAGTTACTATTATTATATTGTTTTATTTGAAAGAAGAATTTATAAAACAGTTTGAAACAACATACCACTAGGTGATACACAATAATCATCCTCCACTGAATGTCCATATACATCATCATAGCCGTCATATTCTGCACAAAACATTTTTTATAGTCTCATAAAGATTATTTATCTCATCGTTTATTATACAAACATTATTACTATGAATATTTCTTAATGAAATGTCAGAAAATATTATACTAATCAACCAAATTAAAGCATAGGTATTTCAAGTCAAAGCTAATTTTTTTTTTTTAATTTGCTTTTAAGAAAGAATATTTTATGATAATTATGATAAGATTTTCGACAATATTTATCCCACTTTATGAAGTGCATCAAAGTATAAAATTTTTTGGTGACAAAACACATTGTTACTTTTTAAAAGAAAAGATGAGTGGGAGGATAAAAATATGATAAATACTTTTCAAAGTAGAGACTTTAAACATGAGAAGGAAAAAAAATTACAACTAAAACAATTTTTGGTGGAGTTATGATTACTCGAAGTCATGTATTAATTTTGTCGACTAGTAAATAGTATTGATAAGTCGGATATATATGTAGAAAAAGAATTGCTTTTGTTAGAATTAAAATCACAATTAAAGCATTGTCATGCTTCGTACATCTTACAATTAGATCAGGATGACAAAAACAGAAGAGAGGATCAGAAATATAAATTACAGTCAGAAAATTCAATAAAACAAACTGATTTGCACATTGCGTCGTGTCGTTACTCACCATCCGAATAATTCATGCAACGAACGTCTCGGTGTCGCGACATGTTTTACATGTAATGTGAAATTTTGCGGTATGTAACGAGATGTTATTTACGAACTTCCATTTACAACCTCGAGTGTGCACTAGCGAAATTCCTATTCGTAGAACATAACATCTGGTTGCAGCATGACCGTAAATTGACAATTGATGCCTGCGCTCATAGACGAAGGAATACCTAGACGAGACAAGCATGTATAATTTCATTATTTTTTTTTACATCGTAATTTTTAGAATTTTGCCCACTTTTCTCCTTTTCAATTTTTTCTATAAATTTAATATATTTATTTTGGAATAAAGTGAGGATTTTTTTAAGAAAGAAAGGAGAAAATATCAAGAATTTTGGACACCTTCGAATGAATAAGTTGTTTCTGATTGGCTATTTGCTCCTCTTTTTTTCAGCAGTTGATGCTCCATCTACGTGTTTTATACGTCTATGGTTTTAAAGTAAAGGTTAGAATTATGGCAGCCGGTCCGATTGCGGAGCGTAATCAAGGTATATTTCAATTTCTTGATTTAAATGACGTACAATCTCGAATAAGTCTTATAATTTTACTCCGATATATATTTAAAAAGAAAAGTTGATTGATAATATGGATTGTTACGTTAAAAAAAGTAAAAAAATTAGATTTGATCACTCGATTGAGGTTAGTCTCAAATAAATGTATTTATAATTATAAAAAGTAATAAATAAAAAGGCCAACTTATCGAGCAATTATTAGAGTTGTTTAGTCAAATAAAATTTATTCTATGTATTGTATGAATTTGTATTTTTTAATAATTATACTGAGGAAGACCGTGTGCGGTTGAAACGTTTATTGCATTATTTTATAATGATTATAATTTTTACTTAAGTTTTAGTATGTTTAATAGTTTATACATAGAATAAATTTTATTTGACTGAACAACTCTAATAATTGCTCGATAAGTTGGCCTTTTTATTTATCACTTTTTGTATTTACAATATACGAGCGAAATTTTGTATCAATTGAAATGTATTTATATTTTCTTAAATAAAATGTGACATGTACTAATACAGATATTTACATGAAAATTTACAGATGCAACGATATATGTCGGCGGACTGGATGATAAAGTTACAGAGTCCCTCATGTGGGAATTGTTTGTTCAATCAGGACCCGTTGGTAAGCAAATTTACATGTTACATAGATTTAGAGATGTATATTTTGAAAAAACATCTGAAACATATAAAAGAAATTGCAATTCTTTTACAATTATCCAATTGAAACTTTATATGTGTATGATATTTGAGTTTGTCAAATATGAAATATGTGAATAATAGATATATTTTCTAAAAACATAATCTCCTTTCAGTTAATGTACACATGCCGAAAGATAGAGTAACCCAAATGCATCAAGGATATGGTTTTGTTGAATTTATGGGAGAAGAAGATGCAGATTATGCCATTAAAATCATGAACATGATCAAGCTCTACGGCAAACCTATTCGAGTGAACAAAGCCAGTGCGCATCAAAAGAATTTGGACGTTGGAGCAAATATATTTATAGGAAATCTTGATCCAGAGGTGGACGAAAAATTGTTGTACGACACATTCAGCGCATTTGGGGTCATTCTGCAAACACCAAAAGTATATATTTTATTAATTTTTTTTACTGAAAACTATAAACAAATCTTCAACCACTCTATTCTTTTTAATTTGATTAATGGTTATACATTATAGATAATGAGAGATCCTGAGACTGGCAACTCGAAAGGCTTCGCTTTCATCAACTTCGCTTCCTTCGACGCCTCGGATGCGAGCATCGAGGCGATGAACGGCCAGTATCTGTGCAACCGGCCGATCTCGGTGTCGTACGCCTTCAAACGCGACGCCAAAGGTGAGAGACACGGCAGTGCCGCGGAAAGGCTTCTGGCCGCTCAGAATCCGTTGAGCCAGGCGGACAGACCGCATCAGTTGTTCGCGGACGCGCCCCCACTGGCACCGCCGCCGATACCGAACTCGACCGCGAACGCTCATCCGTCCGCTCATCATCCTCCGCATCATGTGATGCATCACGGGATGGTCGTACCGCCGCCGCCACCGCCGTCGACTCCTGGACCACCGATGGGTCATCCTCCTCCGCCGCCCGTACCGCCGCCACCGTCCGGTGGATTCCCTCCGGCGAACATTCCTCCGCCTCCTTTGCCGCCGATGTCCATGGCGCATCCTCCTCTACCCCCGGGTATGCCACCGCCATTGCCGCCGATGCCCGTACCGACCTCGCAGGCGCAATCGGCCGCCTCGAGGATGATGGCACCGCCGCCGCCGCATTGGGCCATGGGAGCGCCTCCGCAGGGACAATTTCCACCGCCTCCACCGCCATCCGCCGCCGGTGGACCCCCGCAATACGGACAGTTCCAACCATCGCCGAGGCCACCCCCGACTTGGCGACACCCGCCACCGCCCCCTGTCTCCCAAGGTGGCCCGCCACCGCCGCCTCCGCCTCAATTTCGACCACCCTTTCCGCCGAGAGGACCACCGCCCCCGCCACCTCCGCACGACGGCAACCAATATTAATATTTCTTATAGTTTAACGTTTCTACGTAGCGTAGATAATATAATTGATAAAAATACAGTACAACAATACAATATTTTCACAATTATCGAATGAATATATTATTATTATCGAGAAGAGACTGCTGAGTTTTGAAAAAATCAGCATTTTTTTGTATTAACTTTTTTATCGCATCTAAATAAACATGTTTACACATTTTGTGTATAGATTATAGATTAATTAATTAAGCGAGATATGAATTAATTTTAATCGCGAATAATTAACTGATTATTTATTATTAATCATTTAATGGCAATGCTGAAAATTAATATAGACACGCGAGAGAGTGGAACAACGCTAATTATAATCGCCCAGTTCCACTCGGTTATTTTTTTATTGATTGGCCGTGGTGCGTGAATAACTTACCGCGTTTGTTCTATCGATTTTTTCGTGCTTGACCAGCCCAGTAAATGATAGCGTTAGTCGAACACGGAGTCTATCGTTTGAACCTTCAGGCAAACGTTGTCGCGTCGAAGCGAAAAGATTTGTAAAAATTAATATAAAAGTGACAACAGTTATTTTTTAAGAATAAGTTTGTGCGCGATTCGTCCGCATTTTGTAGTCTTGATTTAGGTAAGTAGAACAAGAGGAACAGGTGTCGACGCGAGCGCGAGAACCGGCTCGAAAATAACGCAAGTATTTTTTTGTGTTTTTTTTTAGACTACACGAGAACAAGTTGCTCTTTTGTCGATCTGTCGTCGCACATCTGATCGCGCGCTTTATTTATAGAAACACGAGCGGTTAAATTTTTAATATATTCTCATATATGTCACGCGGAGGCTAAATAATGCCACGGGACAGATATGACACGATTGTACGAATGTAACTTTGTAAACGACAGCGACAGTGACGTGATCGAGTCGTACGAGTGTACATCCGAATATTGTCTGTATTGTCGTAATTCGCAGTGCTGTCTAATACTGCAACGGCGACCACCACGTCACCTCTGGGAGGCCTGGTACTTTTGGTTCGGCGTTGCTTTGCTCGCTGTTTTCCTAATTTCTTCGGTGAGCAAATGTATTATATGATAAAATATACGTTAAACTCTCATGAGGTAATTGTAATTCTTGTAACACGCGCGTGTGACATCAGCCCCAAGTAGCAAATTGACGTCATTAACGTCAAAATAACGTTTGGATGTTTAATGACGTCAGTTTGTTACTTGGGACAGGATGTATTGAACCAAATTGGCCTATAAGATATCTTTAAGTTGTTTTTCAGCTGTCTTGTGAATATCATATCATATATATAAGATTTCTTAAAGATGCCTTATAAATATTTTTTAATAATCTCCCTCAAGTCGAAACGTTTGAAAAAAATATCTTTAATATTACAATTATTAATACAATTATTAATAAGGGAGATAAGTCTTTCTATGTCTATAAATTACTCGTCATTATCTAGAGCGTGTTGTGCTAAGCTAAGGAAAAACTTCTGATTCGTTTTGAAACTAGGTGAGCAGCTACATAGTCAGTAATCACAGACGTAATATTCAAGGTACAATTCCGATCGGGCAAAATAGCCAGAATGTCGACGATAATAGGCGGAATGACCGGGAGATCAATCAGCCGAGAAATAATCAAGATAATCAGATATCTATAAGCGTGATCTCCTCGACGTTCTTGCCGCAAAGAAAGATGTTGATAATCGATGCGCAGCCGAGCATCATGCATATGAGTAAGGGAAACTAAATGTCTTCCTCATTTTACATTCACCACCGGTCTATATAATGTACACTTGCACTCGCATATCTCTGCGAAAAATCGTTCGAGATTGACATTGAACGAAACTAAAGATTGAAAGTAAAGCTATGTCGACTTGAATAAAAAAAAGATTGACTTTCCTGAAGAACTTGCTCGATTATAATACTTTGCATCGAGGTAATTGATCGTTTCACTGTAAAACGCTTCCTCTAGTGTCACTCTTCGCAAAAATTACATACACATATATGAATAATTTATATTTTTATTTTTATTGCCTCTCGTATTTAAGTCGAATAAAAAAATCCTGTATCATCTTGCGGGGGATTTGCGTAATAATTAATATGGAAAATTTAATTAATTATTTTTACAATTTTTTATTAATTATTGCATATACATATGTATTATATAGGATGTCCAGTAAACCCTGGTAGCAAATATACGTCATTTTGACATTTAGGGGGCCGATTGTTCCAACTTCTTGGCAAGTTTTACCCGACAGGTAGCATATCTTTGTCTCTTTTTTTAAAACTTATCTGAAAAAAGACGAAAATATATGCTACCTATCGAATAAAACTTACCAAGAGGGGAGCAAGAGGGATCAGTAAAAAAATTATTTTTGCATATTTAATATAAAAAAAATTAAATTAAAAAATTTAAGAACAAAAATAAACAAAATATCAAGATGTTGGAAAAATTGGCGTCAGTTTGCTACTTGGGAATTATATCACCTCGTGAAACGAGTTAAACTGACTAGAAAAAAATATATATGTATATGTATATATATGGTGTGCATTATTACACGGTAATAAAAGTGGAAAATATTGATTTATATTTCCAGCACCCGTCGTTGCGTAACAAAGCGCCACTTTGCCGGTTGCGAGACCGAAAGACTTGGGGAAAACGTGACGTTCTCTCTTCGCGCAACGCTTATATATCTCTCGCAACACGATAATACGTGCCACCGGCACGCATATAATCGCTACGTCTTCTCGTCTCTTCGGTGAAAACGTCGTAGTCTCGCTCTATTACGGAGACTCACGCAACACTTAACTCTCGAATGTACTTATTTATTTTTTCGCTCACGTGTAACAGCCGGTAGTAGCTCTCTGGCTGTAAAATGCGCCACGAACATGAAGAATACTTCCGATATAGACGCGAGAGAAACTTTATTTTTCGAGGTAATGAATATTTATTTTTTTATATGAAAATTCATGTCAATTTGCGGATCGAATAAATCTCACTCTATTTTTTGAACATGATAAAGTGCTCAAGAATTTTATCGAAGCGCCTTAACTTCGGACAAACTTTACAACATATATATAATTTTGACAAGTATTTTCGGTATTTATTTTTATCTGATATATTTCGATAATTTTCAATTAATTTTCTCTCATATACGCAAAAATATGAACACAACTTTCCTACAACAGAAAAATCGTAAATTGAACGAAAATATTGATAACTCCGAACGTTCGATAATGAAACATTCAGCTTGGAGAATAATTTTTTTTAAACGTCGCCGTTTCAAGAATCATCGATTAACCGTAATCACTTTCCATTAGCTCCGATGAAAGTGGCGGCTCCGACTCATTCATGTCGTTGACGATAATCTGCCGATCAAATTCACGCAAAGATGTAACGACTCGCACGCAGCGTGCGTATATATGTATATGTATATGTATGTGTGTGTATATATATGTGCGTGAAAGTAACGACAATCTTTCTCGAAGTTATTACGGCAGAATTATAGGCCTCGGGCCCGCGAGCTCTCGCCGTGATTTCGCCCGATCGATTTAAACGATCAACGCGCGTATATATATATACAATATATATGAGTATCTACGCCGACGAGTGTTGCCGAAGAAAGAATATATATATTCTTTCTTCGGCAACATCTCGTCGGCGTAGATACTCTCAGAGAACGGCGATAATCAGAGGATAACGACGCAGCCTCGCGCAAACCTGGCAGCAACAACCTGCTCGAAAACTCGTTCTTCGCAACTGGGCGCAATTCTCCGATAATTAAGAGGATGCCCGTGCTCCGGATTATTGTGTCCTAGGGACGAGAGGACGAGAGAGCAGAGTGAGCAGAGGCTAATTAAAAAGGACGGTCCAGCTCAAGATGATAGTTTCTTGCGCGAGCGATATTAAGGAGAGTTCGTTCTTTCAGCGAAGACTTTTGACATTTACGCGAATTGTTACTTCATTTCATTAATTTATACGTGAAGAATTGAGAAAAAACTTGGCGCGATTATTTCGCTTTCAAATTTGTACATTTTTGCGATTTCTTATTGTAGTATTTTCCAATAATGTTTTATTAGGAAAATATGAAAATTATCCAGACAAACGTATATTAATTATTTGAAGTATTATTATTATCTAATATATATAATCATTTTATCTTCGTCTAATTAATTTATACATGAAGAATCAAGAAAAAGATGTAACGCGATTATTCTGCCAAATTTGTATATTTTTACGATTTCTTGTAATATTTCCCGATAATTAATTTTATTAGGAAAATATGAAATCCAATTACCCCATTGTAAAAAAAATTTGTTAACTTGACTAAACCTTTCAACTAAATTACTATTTTGTTAATTGAACATATATTAGTACTTAAGTCAAATATATGTTTTGTTAGATGTAAAATATTGCATTTAATTTAAATACTTTTGTATGTTCAATTAACAAAATAATATTTAATTGAAAGATACAGTCAAGTTAACAATTTTTTTTCAGTACTGGCAAACGTACATCATTTTAACGTTTAATGACATCAGTTTGCTACTTGGGTATTATTATTATTATCAGTCAATCATTTTATCTTCGTGTAATTAATTTATACATATAAAGAAGTGGACGTGACGTAATTATTTCGTCTTCAAATGAGTATATTTTGCGATTTCTTGTGTAAAAATCTCATATAATATACATTCGAAGGATATTTCATTTTGCATTAGGAAAATATGAAAATCAATTATTTTATCTGTCAGTCACGATAATTCGCGTGATTCATCTATATATACGCGTCGTATATCGTTTGCATGTTGCAGCAAGAATCCGATAAATTAATGCAGAAAGCAAATATCAGTGTTAACACGAAACAAACTGTTTCGCAATTTACTTTTGTAATTTTATGCGCAGTCAACTCGTCCAATTATATCCGTATAAAAATGTATCAAAACGAAGTTCCGAGATTCTAGAAAATTTTTTAAACGATACATAAATATAATAAATTATTGTATTCTATTTTTAAAACATCATCGCGACATTCGACGATCCAGAAGAGCGCTCAATTAGCAGTGTTGTGCTTACATGATTTTAAAATTAGCTAGAGAAAAGTGAGATAAAAATATGCAAATTCATCTTATTATATAAGATGAAGTTGATTTTGTTTGTAATATATCTAGATAAAAGAGAAAATTATATGGCGATTTATCTAGATAATAATTTTTAAGACTGCTTGTGTAAACACAGTTATAAAAAGATGTAAATTATATAAAAGGGATATAAATATATATATGTATTCATATTTTTATTTATGAATTTGTATCGCTTACTGCTTAAGTTCTACTATTTAAGCATTTTTATGTGCTATGATTCTAAACCAAAATGATCTGAAAATTATTCTAGATAATTCAGTAAAGACAATATTTTGTTTCATCTAAGATGCAGATATAGACACAAAAAAATAATAATACGTATTTTTATAATCTATATAAAGATAAGATGCATGACGCCAAAGTTTCATCTAGATGATCACCTATATAATTTTATTTGAGATAACAGCAAACACTGTCAATTAGGGACTAGAATTAGATTTCGATATAAATTACTCATACATATAATGAAAGAAATCCTTGTGCTCATCCGTCAAATCTTTTTATCGCGGACACTCGATCCCCGTCTGTGCGGCAAGAAACGATCGACGAACAGACTGTTAAGCCTCTGACGCGACCTCATTAAACTGTAATCAAGTGTCATTCCGATAACCCAACTCGGGTATTTACCGTCCCCTCGACGTTAGGAGGTCGATAAAGAAATGTGCAGCGGGGTCGGGGGAGGAGAGGCTCTATATATCTCTCTCTTTCTTAATGTTGCATGTATACACAACGTATGTACACAGTAAGCCGAACAGGAATTCCAACTCTCCTCTCCCTGTCCGGTGCACTTGAAAAGACTTAATGAGGCTCGCGCGCCGCGATTGAGCCATTGAATGTCGATCGAACGGAACGTATATACATAGAAATTGCACGCTGTTGACGAAACATTGCCGTTTGACTCATTTCCTGCGACGATTGTGTCAATCTGCTTGTTGCTGCGCGGCTATACCTAAAGGAAGTGTGTCTGATATATCGGATCCATTTCGAAAGCTCGTTTTAATTTTTATATTTCAACAATATTTGTTTAATCGATGAAACATTAATTAAATAAATATAAATATAAATAATTAAATAAATACAAAACTTAGATGATTGGAAAAAAAAACATTAATTTTAATTCATTAAAATTACTTATTTAATTATCGATACATATTTTTAAAAATTTAAACAAAAACGTCGGTCTAATAAAAATAACACAAAATTTAAAATAATATTCACAGAGATTATATTTTAAACCAAATATTATATATTTTTAAATATCGTGGATGTGCGATATTAAGGGTTTCCTTATACTGTCACAGAAAGTACGACGAAAAGTGATGAAATTTGTATTAATTTTTCACTCATCCAGTCGATTTCTCAATAATTTTTTATTTTATTTTTTTGAAGTACCTATACCCACGTAAATAGACGTTAACTTCCCCTATTTTTCTTCGATTCTTTCTTAAATTGAGAGCACACGCATATATCTCTATTTACGTGTAATTTATTTAATCATACGCCATTCATAAAGTCGCGGATAAATACAACTATATATACTGGGCCACGCGGATAAATAACGAGAAAATATCTTTCGATGAAAAAGGAAGGAAGAAAGACGCCTTGCTGTACATATGTGTACGTCTTCGACTTTTCCCGCTAACGAGGTCTGCGACTCCAGGTCGCCGGCGCCGTCTCACCCTCATCTCGTCATCGGGCGCCGTCAAAGGCTCGTTTACACCCGGATTGTCGTCGTCGTCGGCGACGTCGAAAGAGCGAGCGCGACGACAGAGAGTCCCTCGGAAATATATAAAAGAGCGGGGGAGTCGTGTTATTCTTCTAATAAATCGGTCGACTTTAAGAGAGAGAGCGCGCGCCAAAAGCACCGGAAATAAATCGGGGCGCGGAATTCGCGTGCGAAGAAGAGGTAAACGCCGCCCGATGACGGAATTTAAAATAGATACACAGAGTAGTAAATTGTCGAACTCGAGTCGGACGACACCGGTGAGACGCGACGCGTCTTTTAGTGGGAGACGCTAAAATTAGAGGTGCGAGTAGTCGCAGTTTCAGCCTTCGCGGTTCTCGCGTCTCTTCAACTTGGAACATTTCCGAATAGTTGTTTGGCCCGATAAGATCCGGTTGTTCCGATCAGTTGCGCTCTATCAGTCACTTCGAGAGAGAGGGACAAGATTATGGCCCGCATCAGCTGGCGGCGAACGACAGATCCAGATTCCGCGGCTCGATAAGCGAGACTTCCGGGACTCTTGGGAAAGGAGAGATGCCTGCTCGTCGATCGATAATCGCTCGATCGTTAGCCGGATACCTCGCCGCGGTCTGCATCGTGTCGTTGCCGACGAGTTTGCTCGCGCAAGTGGAAGGTAAGTGAGCCGCGTGTCACCCGGCCGGGTTCTTTAATTGACGAAGGATGCTCCGTTAATGACGACGGGAGACGCGCCATTAATTAAACCGCCCCGGTTCGTTAAAGCAATTTGGCGAAAAAAATATAGGCTCACGCATGGAAAAATAAATATAATTACAATAAAACTAAATAATAAATATAAATATATTATTATAATAATTTACAATTTATAATATTATAATTTATTTAATTTATAATATTATTATAATAATATAATATTTCATAATATTTTATAATTTTAAATATATAATATTGCTACGCTTAAAATATATCTCATAATTTTATGAAGATTATTTCTTCATATTTTTTTGACGATAATTAATTTTTAAATAACGAAGAAGATCTCTTGAGAATTTTTTATACGAAGTTTCTTGTCGAGGAGAATTAGTTTTCTTATACTTTTCTTAATTGGCGCGAGTCTTACCTTTGCGCGAAATTATAAATTGTTGCGAAAGTGCCAATTTGCATTTGTAGAGAAGTTCAGACTCGCTTACGAACATCTGTCACACAATATTATGTTTCGTAGGAAGAAAGTGCGTGTGCACGAGCAAAGCCTGCAAGGAAGCCGGCGTGGATACTTGTAAAACGAGATTCTTCTGTTACACCGAGCGTATTCTGACAACGGGAGAAGAAGTTGGTGAAAGTACGGTCACAAGAGGATGCACAGAGTGCGTATAAATAATACAAATTACCGCAGAAATTTTTTAAAAATTATATACCAGAGTAGATATCCAATTTTTTTTAATCTCTTACGAAAACTTGAGTTTTTTTCTCGTCTCCGAATTTTTGTATCTCGAGAGAAGGTGTTACGATACTTGTTATGAGCAGGATGCGCGAGTTTGACAACACTATAATATAATATAAATTCAGGAATGCGTAATGGTGCGACGAATAACCTTGACGAGATAATCGAGAGAAAAAATTTCCGCCATTTTTATTAAATGTCTCATTAATATTACCATCGTGATCGCTGCCTGTGTGATGGTGGTTGCGACAGGGAGTTCAACAAAATCCGGATATTATGTTAATACATCTGTCGACTTGTTTGCTACTCCTTTTAGAAGTTTTTACAGAGACTACTTAAATTGTTGCCCAATGTGAAATTCAATCGTTCGATTTACATCAATGATAGATACAAATATAAAAATCATTTCGAATTCAAACTCAATTCTCCAAATAATTTGTCACTTCGAGAAAATGTTGACGAACCTATAACTTGCCTGAAATAGTCGTATCACCTCTCAATGACATTGTCAATCTATTTCTCTGGGACTTTAATCAATTGGTAAAAAGAACCCCACACAATCCTTATGGAAATTGAATTTTGATGGAATTGGATTTTTTTATTTATTATAACTTGTGAACTGCTGAATAAAAATTATATAAATATAATAGCTTGAAAGCTAAATAATGGTCAATTACTGAGTACCTAAAATTTAATTTTATATCAAATTCCCTAACAGCACCCATATCCAAAAGTCGTTTAGAAGACATTCAGAGGATGTAGAAATTAGTGAGGGATTTTTGAATCTAAATAAAAAAGGATTGTACGGAGTCCTTTCTCAGATAACAAGTGTACGTCATTGTGACGTTGATTGACGTTAGTTTGCTATCTGGGTTCCAACATATATCGCGTTTGCAGGGGGGCCACGCCATTGTTGTGCGAGACAAAGTCCTGGGTGACGAGATCGCGATCTGTCAACGCCGTGGAACCACCTCGTGGATCGCTGATTCTCGTTCCCTGGCCGAAATTAAAGTGCTGCGACAATCGCGACTACTGCAACGCTGCCGACGAAGACGACGAAGACGATGATAATGAAGAGAAGGACGAGAGGAAGATGTTGGAGCGGACGCGTTCCGCGATGGATCGCGAGATGTTGGACGGTCCGTTAACGAATCGGGACGCGTCGGCGACGGAAGTGCAGCCTGACCGGAAGTACCACGATTCGGACGGGGTCGTCCAACTTGTGAGCGATCGCGTCAGGGCGCTGCACGTCGCCGCCCTAATCCTGGCCATCGCGGCCCTCATATCCGTCCTGGCGTCCTGCTACGTGGTTACAAGGTGCGCAAATCTCTCTTTCTCTACTGATCCACATTTACAAACGTAAATCCAATTTGTTTACCAATGTGTTCGTTCATCGACTTCGAGAATATTTATTTTCGAGGGAAAGTCAACATCTCTGGTAATATCTTGTTATATACATTTTCTTAAATAAAAATTTTAAAATTGTCGGTGAAAATAATTAAATAATTTTAGAATAAAGATAATTTATTGATTAAATTTATAAAGTAAATATAAATTATAAAATATGTAAAATAAATTCGTAAATAAAAAGATGAATTTAAATAAATTCGAGTAAAAGGATATTCGAGTGAAAAATTAATCAATGTCACAGAGAGTTAAATAAAATAAAATAACGAAATGAAATAAATAAATGAAAGATGAAAATTGGCGCGAGCAAAATATATGTACGAACGATTGTGCAATGAGACGTCAGTCGCAATATATACGCAAGGTTGCACGAGCTGGCCGTTAATTAACATTGGATATAATTAACGATCGGCGAAGAGATAAATCTATTCGAAAGTAGTGCTTTGGTAGCGCAGAGGGACCACCCTGTGTAACAGATCGTGAGCATCGAGGCCGCACGAGAGGCGAGAGTATACGTTTATAGTAACCACCTACACACGGCACAGGACTCGTTTTTCCCACGTGAAACAATAAATCATGTCGCATTTCTCGAATAGCAAAAATCTGCAATGCACCTTCCGTTATTGGAAATTAGATTACGTATTTAATAGTTTATACTTATGTTTAGCAAATGTGAGAGAGAAGCATTTTTTTCATGCAGTTCATGGATGTCCATCCGTCCTTTATTTCAAGTAGCTGTCCTTTGGATTTACTAGTTTTTCCAAAACTCAATTTTTTCGTCAAAAAAAATTTCGTTATTTATTTAATTTTCTTCTTTATATTACAATTTTGTTCTTTATTTTTTATTTAGCGTTAGGAATCATGATTGTTATTAGCTTTTTAAAATATATCTACAATGACCATCCGTCCTTTATTTTAAAGAACAGTTCTTTGTTTCAAGCTGTCCTTTAAAATAAAGGTTTATTCATTTTTCCAAAACTTAATTTTGTCCTTTAACTTTTACTTAGCATTTCATTGTCTAATATAGTATTAACATGAAAATTTATACAAAAACAAAGGTGCCTCTTATCCGGAACCCATTTAAGAAACCAAGGATTTTAACATACCAAGTCGAATCAGTTATCAGTTTCAAAGAATAAAAACGTAGACTTTTGATAGTTACAGGATTATGTTTGTATAAGCATGTTGAAACAAAGGCCTAAAATGTTCAAATCTGTCTTTTAATTTCTCTTAAAAAATCTGATGGGTACTTTTTAAATTTAATTGAGCAAATCTTTTAGGTTCATGCCTCATATCTGTCCGGGTTTTTTTCCTTTTTCCGACCGCTTTCAGACCGCTTGTTCTCAAGGTATTTTGTCGCGATACACTAAAAGCCGCCCTCTTATCAGTCTACCTCTCGGCGAGGGGATTTTTCTTCGGTCCTCGGGTCCTGAAAGACGTAGATAGCGCAACTCGCACAGACCACTCATAGACCTGCCCTCTAATCTTGCTTCTCCGAATGGTTAAGTGGGTTTTCGAGTTCGGGAATGTCTCGGTTCGACCCGTCTCGCGTAAAACATCTTAGCGAGCCCGTACCCCGTCGTTATAGTCCCTTATTTTTTTATTTTCAAATGGATGGCATCGCGCACGTCGCGTTTTATGCGATAAAAACCAGCCGAGAGCCCGAAGCTATTTCCTATCCGAAAGAACAGCAATCTATGTTTGATCACGCAATTTAGATTTCTCTATATTTATTTATTTATTTAATATAATAGGTATATATTGCGATACAGCTGCACTTCTTTTTCGTGAATTCGTACCATATCCAAGAAATAAAATAAAAAATAAAAAAATAAAATAAAAATTATAATCAACAATTATAAAATAAAATAAAATAAAATAATAATATAAAAAATGAAGAATAACTCACTTGCATAAAAATGTGGTATTATGTAAATAATCCATTGTCATAAATTGGTAAAAAATTTTTTTTTTACATTTTATACGACTCCGGGAATACAATAGTAGTCATGTTAACACGTCAATATTTACATAATAATAGATTTTATTTGTGACATTCTGCTTATGTAAATGTAAACCCATAAAAAAATCTCTTTCTTTATATGCATTATTATTGTTCTCCTTCACTGGATAAAGACATCGACATTCTTTCCGGCGTATAATTTAAACGAGTGTCACTTCTCGTCGTGATAATTGATTCCTTCGACCATATTTTGTATCGCTAACGATCGCTTCAGTTCCGCGCGTTTTACGTTCGAAAGATTGTTTTCCATCGCGTCGTTCACGGTTTCTCTAATCCTCGTCAGACAATATAAGTATAAGCTTCCTCAGGGGGAGAGTCGGGATAAGATCCGGTTTTAAGTGGACCGGAGGGCATCTCTCTCCGGACGCGATGCGCATCGAATCGATTTTTGATCGTGATTTATATCACAGGAAGCTCGCGACCGGAGAGTCGACCCGATAATACCGTGACGAATCCATTTATGAGTCTCCCATTCACGTGTTTATTCTTTCATCACGAATATATCAGGCAGAATAAACACGCGGATAGATACTGCGAGAAGGTATACGGGAGAAATTTCAGTCGATGATAAATAATTCCTTGTTATAGATTCCTGAGGAGCAATCGTTATATGACGGACGCTATAAACAATTACTCGTGAATACGTAATGCCGAAGACTTGTATTTAATTAATATTGTGATTCTGACGGAGTTTTGTCTAATTTGTGCGGTCTTTCCTCCAGTGGGACAAATTAGGATATATGTATAGGTAATGTATTTTTATGCTGCAAAATATTGTATAAACATGGATATTTTTTCTTGAAGGGGGCATTATTAATTTTTGTCCTTTCTTAATTTTTAAAAATTTATTTTTTTATTTTGTTTTATTTTCAGTTTTTTTCTATTAAATATGCAGATAAATTCCAATGTTTATTTGAAAGGAGAACAAATGCTTAATTTTTTTATTGATTCGAATTGTAAGGGGGCAAATGCCTCCTCTTGCTCCCTTTTTGCGGACGCTTATATATGTATATAAATACAAAATCTGTAAATATAATATAAATGCAAATTTCGAGTGTATATTGTAGCGTAAGAAAAGTAATATATGTATGATCTGTTGGTCTTTTCTTAAATATGCGATTGCTCTATCTCTCTCTCTCTCTCTCTCTGCTCGTGCTTATAATTCTCTCGATCGTACGTCGCTGATCAACTAACAAACGGAAAATATAAATAGAAGCCGGCCGTGCGGGAGATAACTGCCGACAGGCCGGTCGAGTCTCTGTATTAAAGCGATTTTTTGTTACGTCCGCTGAATGGCTTTCGACTTCCAAACAGTAGCGCCGACACTCATCGGATCGTGGCTTGCAGGATTGAATATCGCAGATAATATTATCTTACGGATGCGCCATATCTATTCAATAGCACTCATGATATGCATCATCGACGGGTCTTCTTAAATTCTCGAAATTGCGTTAAGACGAATTCATATATTTAATTACGACTCGATATCTCGAAAGATATCCCAATCTCAATGTCCGTGAAAATTGTTTCATCTTTTTATAATTTTATAAAATATCATTTGTAATATAATTTTTTATTAATATATAATTATATAAAAAAAAATATATATATATATATATATTATGTATTAAAAATAAATATATAGAGAATTTTCTCTAAGAGTAGTTTCTCTGATTATACCTATATAATATTTCCCACAATAAAAATTGTAATATATCTACCACGATAAGATATAAAATAGGTTCAATTAATTTTACTATATACATATTAATTTTTTATTACGGTAAATATTAATCGGAGAAACTTTCATAAAATTCTTCCAATATCATTTATTGTTCCATAATTACCACGATTTTCAGGGTGAATTCTAAGAGAAAATTCCCTCTGTGTATATATATATATATATATATATATATATATATATATTTGCAAAAAATAAATTTTTATAAATATTGACAAGCAGAATTTGTTACGGTTCAATTTCTTGAATCTAAAACTAAATTATGTTTGATCTATTCTAATTTCATTACATAAATTTTTTAATAATTTTGTAATTTCGCTTTTTGTTTCACCTTAAAATTATACATGAGTTATCGTCTAGTGACGGAGAGAGAGAGAGACAGAGAGAGAAAGAGAGGTTTCGCTTATCTCTATTTAGGGATAACTGGAATATCAGGGAGGTCCCAGGGAAAAAGAGCCACGTCACAAGCGTGACGGACGATTCGGACGATATTCGAGATCCCCCAACCGAACGAGGCTTCCTGAAGAGCGCGAAGCAACTCCGACTCGTCGCGTCCTCCTTTGTTCTACATTGTATGAGTAACGGAGCAATGTTGTAGCTCGCATTCTTCGCTGCCGTCGAGCGAGGGACCCTTCGAGGGACGGGCGCCCAAGTGTACGCCAGGTGAACCGGGGCCCCATCGCGGTCCCCATCCCGGGGCCCCAACCCCCCGAGTTTCAACGTAATTAGTCATCCTCCCTCTTCCAGGTTAACGCATACACACATCCTGCCGAACGAAATAACGGCGAAGAGAAATAATGTGTATGCGCTCGCGACCGAAACGCTATGTCATCGTGAGAAAGAGAAAGAGGTTTTCATCCAACGTAAATAAATTGATGAAGAGAGCAAACGTACGAGTACAGTGAAGCCTCTGTCAGTTCTAGCATAATCGCGCGTTGAGCTTTTCGAAGGCAGCGCGCGAATATGTGCGAAGCTGCCAGAAGATGAGAGAATGCGTGATGCGGATCTCTCGGTATCGAAACTGTACATCAAATTGTAAACACGTCGCATATTTCGAGAGTTTCAATTAATTGCGTTCTATTGCAATGATTTTAATTTTAAAAATATGAAATTGTATAATATTGATATTAAAAATTGAAAATCTTTTGCCAAGTTCTAAGGAAGCGTCCTTATAAATTGATTAAGGATATGTCAAAAATAGTGGCACGTTTTTAATTTTTAAAATTGTAAACGCATCGCATATTTCGAGAGTTTAAATTAATTGCGTTCTACTGCAAGGATTTTAATTTAAAAAAGGTAAAATTGTATAATATTGATATTAAAAATTGAAAACCTTTTATATATAATAGTGGCACATTTTTTAATTTTTAAGATGTAATTTTAGTCTTATATATGTAAGAATAAAGGATTTATTTCATTTTGTACAAAGCGTTTTATATTACATGTCAAATATTAGAAGTCAGAAATAATATACTTTGTATGTATGTGACGATGTGTATATGATATTTTTTATCGGTTCTCTATTTTTCCTACATATTCAGATCTTATATTAAAAGTAAAATTATATTCACAATTATTACGTTTCAGCAAAAATCGATCCATCGTTTGCTAAAAAAACTGTTTACTCTTAAATCCTAAAACATATATGTATGCATGTATTTCTTGTCTTTTAGTTTTGTGAAAAGGATTAGTCCCTTCTCATATCTAAAGCTACTCTCCTTATTTATATATCTGTATTTCTTTCAACCTTATGTATTATTTACTTATTATGTAATATATAGTACTGTATTTTCAGGATTATATATAAATATATATCTTAGAATAGAGGAAGGCATAATAGAGCGAAAGAGATAGTGGACTTATCGCAAGAGAGAGCGGATAGCTAATTGCCTCTACTTAAGCAACGATGTATCGATCGTTTCTAGTCTTGTATTTAGATTGCGAACGGAGAACAATAGAGCGACAGCGTATGTACTGCGGCGAGGAAAAAGAACGGTCTCTCTCGACATACGGCTGACGATCAGCCGGGGAAAAAGCAGGCAAAGACGCGTCGCGTCGCACCACTTTGGCGTCGTCGGGGATCAGGCGCCACCGCGTGTCTCCCAGGTCCCCCTCAGTGTCCTCTGTGCAGTCCGCACCGCCGACTTTCCGCCGTCAAACCACACGCATACTATTTCACACACGCCGCCGAATGCACACACACAAATGACCCGGCTGATCGTCGGATGGATGGATGCATACTTGTGTGTTAGGGGGTCTCGCCACCCCGACGTCGTTAATGTTAGTGTGGCGTACCTTCCTTGGAAAAATAATCGAATTCTGTCTGCCGAACTCGATTATCTCCATGCGCGAAGTACGATACTCTTTTTTTTTTTTGCCGCGAATAGGAGCAAAAATATATATATAATATATTGTAATTGTAGGCTGCAGGATTTTTTCCAGGAGGGGGCATAATTCAATTTAAAAAAAAAATTTTTTTTTATTTTGTTATTCTCATTTTTTTAATATTAAATATACTAATAAATTCCAGTATTTATTCAAAAGGGGAGCAAATGCTTAATTTTTTTACTGATTCCAAGGAGACGCAAATGCTCCTCTTGTCCCTTCTGTGGATGCCCGATTATAATAAATATAATATAATATATTTATAATTTTATAATATACAGAATGTATCTAAATAAGTGCGAAAAATTTTAGATGATTTTTTGTTGAAAATTAAAGGGAGTTTCTTATAAAAACATATTCTCTTATATCTTTCCACAAGGAGTTACACTTTTCTAAAAAGAGAGGTAAAAATTAAGGTTTTATTCTAACTCTTTCGGAAGGGATATAAGAAGTATGTTTATATAAGAAACTTTCCTTAATTTTTCGACAAAGAAATTATCTAAAATGTTTCTTATTTAAATGCACTCTGTATGTACATATAATATTAATTGAAAATCTTTCGCCAAGTTCTATAAGAGGAAATATTCTTATATGGATATATACGATTAGGGATACAAAAAACTGGCTCTTTTAGAATTAAAAATTTTTGAAATCTTATATGTATAAGAATAAAGAATTTAATTAATAAAAGAGCGTTTTATATGTCAAATTTGAAATGGAAAAAATATATATAGAGAGCAGAAAATATGGCGCGTGTATCTCCCGTTAAAAAGCGCTGATAAGCGGTAATATCTCCGAAAACGAACAAGGGGGAAAAAGGGAGAGATGGGAGACTGCGCTCTGACGCGCGCGCAAAAGAGATATCTACGGAATCGTAGTCTTGCACAAAGGGAGATAATTATCTCGCGACCGCGCATCTGTACGACTCAAGTCGAGCGACGCCACACAGTAAACGAGCGCGCGCGCCATTATAAGAGCGGGGGAGGGGAAGGGGGAAAGGGAAAAGTTCTTTCATTTGAAAAAAACTATCCGAGAGAGGCGAGTGCTCCCCCGACGCGACGCCGGGTGCTTATTCGCCTGCGGGTGCGCGCCGGCCACGACCAGGCGCGACTGGCTCCGAGACGTCCGGCGGCGCCGACGTCGTGAAGTTAGCAGCGAGTGAGTCAGTCAGCCGCTGGACTGCGACGTGGTAGGACGCAGAGTTGCGCTCCGTCTTCATTCGCGCGCGCGAATCTCTTCTTTCTCTTCTTTCTCGCTTTCCCTTCGCGATCGATTAATCGATCTCGTTATGCGCGACACAATAATCGGACGAGCGAGAGCGATTTATCATCGATCGTGACGATGGTGATAATTCCGAAGTTCTAATTCGGGAAGAAACACATGTGCGCCCGATCCTCGGAGGACGATCCAATTTTTCATTCCTCTTTCGTTTCGAACGCGATCACGTGGGGCCGAGAAGGGAGATTTATCGCGAGATTCCAGCTGATTTGATTAAGATTCGGAATGTTGCCGCGCGACGTGTGGACCCTCATGACGTTGATGACAAGTCTCGCCGGTGCCGCCGTCACCAGGTTCCCATCTGCGGATTCAGATCCGGAAGATTACGAGGCTTCATCCAATAAACGTAACTACAGATTTTATTATATATGTATATAAGTAAACGAGAGCGAAGAAGAATCGTTTCCTAATTCTTCTGTCAATGATGAATCTTAAAAATGTACCAGACGACCTTTTCTTTATTCGAAAGAGCCTTTGTATTGGAAATTTTTTGAAATATAATGGTAAAGAATTTCTCGATGTCCAGCATTTGTATACCTGAGTAGCCATGGGAAAAATATTGACAGAAGAATTACACGGAAGTTACATATAATTATTATTAGATACATACTTTCCGTATACTATCAAACACATTTGTATCGCTTTTTAAAAAATCTCGTGCTAATCTGAATGTGAAATAAAAATTGGGACGTTTTTAATAATGGATTTTTCTTCGTCGATGATAAATTTTCTTCTCGCGCGATATCGGTTTCCTCTCATTATTCGAACGCAGATGCATATCGTGGCGCTTTGATTTGCCATGTTACTTATGTTACTAAAGGTGAGATAGTTGCGTGCGAATGATCGCAGGAAACACGGCGTGTACACGTGCTCGGCACGCTTGTTTTACTAATTCTCGCGAATTTAGTAATTCGTATCTCTCCAAGGATAGCAGCTATCGTATTACTATGCGATTAGACGTCTCCGTATGAGAATAGCGACTGAAAAATTAGAAAGGAAGTATCCGCAATTTTGAACGGAAGACACTGTTTAACAATTGAAAAGAGGAAAAAATATCTCGTTTTTCCGATGCATTTGTGTACCTTCGCACAAAAACATTTTATATTTGTATGTTAGAGTCTATCCAATTTATTATCGTATTAATTTCGCATTTTGAGTACACTTTTAACTAATTTATACTAAAATTTATTCAAAAATTGTCTTCGTCGAAATGAAAAAAAAAATTGTTTTCAGCCAACCAATTTCACAAATTATCCAATTTATATTTAAAGAAGGAAAGAAAGAGAGAGGGAGAGAGGACGAAATGAAAAGAGGGAAAAAGGAACTATTACCACGTGCTTCCCTCCCAAAAATACAACTCCTATACGGCGCCGAGAAGTTTGTCGGAGCAATTTGGCCGCAAACAAACAAAGGCTATTACGCGATGGTGTAAACTACCTCGGGAAAAGGGGTCGATCTCTCGTCGTTCGCGGAATGCTCGTCGACGCGAGCAATAAAATCGTTTTATTCGAGGAGCAACGAAACGTGGCGGCACGACGCGACGTATACGAATGATTCACGATCGATCGATAGATTTACATCCGTAAGCGCCTCCCTTCTCTCTATATCTCTCCAACTGTATCTATATCTATTGTCAACACACATCTCTTAATCTGGTCAAGTAACGTTACACGTACGCGGGTTTCTGGTGTGAGTACAGTGACCGCATATCTTGATAACGCGTATAATTAGCGTTATCTATGTACAATTTTACTTATGTACGACTCCGTTTCTCCCTCTGTTTCTCCTCCTTTCTTTCGTTTCCTTCGCGGTCGAACAAAGGCGACGCGGTATGCGAGATAATAAATATTGAAATTTCGTTGTTCGCACGATAGCGAGCTTAGAGCAAGAGAGAGAGAGAGAGAGAGACGATAAAATACACTAGGCGCCAGCTAGGCGCGCGAATAGCGGAGTTACATAGTGCGCTATATGCATGATAGAAGTACACGCGCTTGTTGCACGCGTACATTGTTGCGTCTCTCTCTCTTTCTCGTCCTCTATATTTTTTTATTTCCGTTTTACATAATGCTCGAATCTCCAAGTGGATGTTTACTCGCCAGTAATAAACGTCGATTTATTTTCCCGGAGGAAGGCTGCATGCGAGACTCGAAAGGTGAACGAGTGAATCGATTTCTGTACGCGATGGAATTTAATTACGTCTGCGATTAATCAATACCGTCCGTCTGTCTTCCTTTGATCCGTCGACATATAATTATTCAAAATTGATAAGCATCAAAATAATCTCGTTCTTGCACACTCGAGATGATCTATCAATTTTAAATAGATTTATAGACGCAATCGCGTCCGCAGAGGGGGGGGCAAGAGGGGGGAATTTGCCCCCTCCTTGGAATCGGTAAAAAAATTAAGCATTTGCTCTCCTTTTGAATTAACATTAAAATTTATTTGCATATTTAATATAAAAAAATAAATTGTAAAAAAATTAAAAAATAAAAAAAAATTATGCCCCCTTCTGGTAAAAATATCCTGCGGACGTCCATATACGTAGCTTCTCTTATTATTCACTCTTTCTAGAACTAGAATAAAATTTGACGTTGATTTAGATTCTCTCAGGCGAATTTTATTCACATTCTACTTTTTAATTGGCCCACTCGATCGCGTCAATTTCGCGAAATCATTTCATTATAGTTTCTCGAATGCATTTCGCATCTCTCTGGTAAAACCGCAAACTCTGATATCGCGAGGTCGTTAATCCCCAATGGGTTCGGCGAATTGCTCGTTAAAGCATTCGCGCATTATTACAGTGGTATATATCCGATATGAAGAGTCCGTTTCTTAAGTATATACGCGAGCAAAGTGAAATGTCGATCGATGCCTAATGAAATCGAACAGAGTTTATAATGAGTCGGGGTTGAACTAACTTATACTTACGTTCCTTTCTTCGACATCGATGGAACGAACATTGTTACAATTTCTGCTATCTAAACTTCACGTTCGCTTGTATTGTTGATACCGCGATGGATCGAAAAAATATATAATGGAAGGAAAAAGCTGCGAATATACTATTTTTAGTCATCACGCACCGAGAGTTGCGAATCACATGTCTTCGTCGAAATTTTGCGCGATCACAAATTGCGGCCTCTATTTTATCACGAACCTCGAGATTAAAGTAGTAGAATTAATGATTTAAATTTTATTTTTAATAATATTTATAATTTATAGATTTCATAATTTGGAAATATAATTTATTATTTGATTTATTTATAATGTTTGTGAAGGTGTTTTAGGTTTAACTTTATTAATTATGATTGTTTATAAATTTTTGGGAATAAATTATATATATATATAATATAAGAACATTTTAGATTTATTTAAAATTTATTTTTACAATTTTATTATTTTGCATTACGTTACTAAGAAGAAGCTAAACACAAGAGAGATATCGCTCTCAGAATCCAGACAATTTACATGCAGGTGTTTCCACATTCTCGAGTATATCTCGCTTCAAAGACAATGGCATTTAAGGGATTTTATCGGTGACATTGTATTCTAGATAATTAGTCGAAAGTTCATTTTAGTCTTTCGAAACTTGGAGACTTCGTTACTACTCATCATCATCGTCGTCGTCGTCGTGGAGCCGTTGTCTTTCGAGTGGCGCGCCGGCAACGAAAAATGCGAGCTCATCGACGCCGACGACGAGAACGAATAAGCCTGTGCACACGCACACGACGCTCGCTGGCGTGCGCGCATACGTATGCATATATATACATACACACACACACACACACACACATATATGTCCTAAGTAGCGCGGCGGCACGGCGGCGACTACAGCTGGCGCGTTACGCTACGTGCACGCGTACGCACACACACGCACGTCACTCGGTGGCGCCTGTCGGCCACACGGATACGCAATGCATGCGTGCGTGACGAGTTTGTACCTCTCTTTATATACATATGTGTATATGTATGACATTACGTACGTACCGTACATAAATAATTTCGCGTAACTGTGTGCATATATATGTACGGTGTCCCTCGGATCGCGATTTGGATAAATCCGTTTTCTCCGTTTCGTCCAATTTCGCTGAAGATATTCATCGCGATAGTTTCTCGCTAGAATTATTTCACGTCGGACGTATATCTCGTGCCTCGACGGTCTTTTATCTTCTAGAACATTTTTGCCGTGACACCCTTGACATGGCTCGTTACTGCGTTGTATGTCTCTGCACGCAACAATGACGTACGGAAATGACATACCGTCGCACATAATCATGAACGCTCTCGCGGACGCATGTCGCGTGTAAAAACGCGCCGAAATGCGAAATGATATTAGTAGAAGAATTACGATACTTCTCGGTGGCTTGTGGAATATTTGAATTTTTCATCACGCGAGAACAGACACGGAAATAGTGTCAAGGGACACGATCGTGTCTCGAGACACGATCGTGTCTCTTGACAGGACACGATTGTGTCCACTGTCAAGTCACGTGTTTATATCAAACACATGGTCCGTCCAGTTGAGAATATCTCGGATTATATATCTGATCTCTCGGTAACTCGACTGGTTTTGATCGATTTGTAAGTTGTATGTACACATTCCACTATTAAATAGCCAACCGTTAATTGAAGCGGAATTACGACGAACATAAAAGCATTAAAAAAAGAAAGAGTCGTGTAAATAACTGCATCCAGATTGAGCGCGAAACCGACTTTCAACGCGCAAAGTTAACGACTCGTTCGATGGTCGCCTTAATGCAAGCCTTCCGTTTGGAGCTCGTTAATCGATGTCGGATAGTCATGTCGACGGCACGCAAACGGCTAAGCACCGCCAAGGTTCGTCCAAGTATTTCCTATACCTATACCCACCTCTTTCTCGGCGTTTCAGTTAGTTATTTAAAGACGAGGCGAAATTTATGCGCTTAATCTGTTTGCGCCGCCGCGACTTCGCATGTATATGTGTAGGACGAATGACAGCTCTGAGATGCTAATTCATGTAATCCCGATCTCGCTCACTACTTGTTTACGATTTAGTGCCACTTGCGTTGGTATCATTCCAAGTACCGGAATTGCATAGAGTGGTCTCTGGATGTTTGTAAAATTCCTTGTCGAGAAGACATCGTTATTATAAGAAACGCGCTGCTTCAACATCTATGCATCTAATTTCAGCTCTATTATTTTTTCCAACGAATATCGCGATATCAGAAAATTGTTTTTGCATTAATTGTCATTTTATTTTATATATTTATATTTAAATAAAATAAAAATATGTCATAAAATTTAATTCTTTCACTATTCAGTTAATAATTGAAAATGTTATAAATAAGAAATATGTTAGAAGAATTTCTA